TGTACAGACGATAATCGAACATATGAGTAAACTTTAAAGTATCTTGTTTCATTTAAGGTGTAAACTGCGCGTTGAGTGCCTTTCACGCTCTCACTGAGCGGGCGCAAATTTAAGCTTCTTGTTCTAAATCTTTAATGTAAACTTACCATAGTCCGGCACCATCATAGAAATAGGCCTAAAGAGTGCCTTCAAATTGTCCGGTAGTTCTGTTCTGCCAGCGTAGCCCGGGTTCATGGTGATGAAGGCGGCGCAAGTACGGACCAGTTTTATCTCACGCCCTTCAAACATGAACCTAGAAAATGCAACTGGCGACTAGTGTAGGAGCTCGTAATTTGAGAACAATTGCGTTATCTTCTAGTATAAATACCACATTATTTGAATGGAAATTGAAAAAATGTGCACCGATGTCTGTACGTATTAAATAAATTACTAATTAGTCACTCCTATAACAAAGAGAGTAATGGACACGAAATGTCCAAAGTAAATTTAATTTTTAAATTTGCATCTGTGATAATTGGCTAGTTGAAATTTTTTAACTTTATAAATAAATAGTCCATTAATATCTGAGAAATAATATAGAAGTAACAGCATGTCTGCGATTAAAAGTTTGGAGTTACAGTACTATGTTTGTAGAACTGCTGCTAGTCGGCCGTATATACGCTCCTTACAAATTCATGCAACTAACTGACGTCACACAGTGCTACAGCCTTCTGGGCAATCTTAGTAATATCTTTGTTATTACTGCGTTTATGTTTATAGCTGTTATAATGGAAGTTGTTACACTTTATGTAACTAATTTAATGCTATATGTATTTTTGTAATATATTTTCCCTACATTTTCCAAGTTTTCAAAGCGTAACATTTTTCCAAATAAGTGACATAAAATTTATTTTCTTAAATATTTATAAGATAAAATGGTCAAATTTAACAATAAATGTCAAGTTGACTTTTAACGTTGAATGCGTTGCACTATCTCCTTTCTCGATTGGGTGGTTATAGTTAGCAGTAAAGGTTATGACGTCATTTCACCATTGCCAAATGGTGCAACTGATTATTTGCATAACCGGTACTTTAACATCCTTGTTATTGTTAAAGTAATTCGGTGCGCCCGAGCCTTAATGTCAGATAGTTACGATAAAAGTATTGGACAGTGGAGAAATAAATTTTCTGATTACATATTGGTACTAGTAGTGGTCAAAGTAAATAGGGAATATGCACATTTTTGGAAAATGTTTTTATATGATAATTTACATCGATATATAACTGTAAAAAATACCCGGCATCGAAATACTAAGATTTAATCATTGATGAAAATAAGTAATAGCTTCAAGCAGTTTAAACACCGGAATTTTTGGCGCACTTGTCGTGACGTCAAAGTACACGACTAGAGATATGACATTTTAAATCAATATGGATTTTTAGTGATTGATTATTATTCAATTACCCAAATCGATTAACAACTAATCGATTTTTTAAAGTATAATAGACTTTTTTAATAAATCATATAATTTACCAAATTGGTGAAATAAAAATAAAAGCCTAAAACATCATTTAAATTGTAATCAACTGTTTTTTTTTTTGCGACATAATACATTGATGTTATTGCATCCATGTTAACTTTTTGTAACAACGACATCCTTATACGTGTACATTTTCGTCACATCCGCTCTGACAAGTAGCATGACGTTTAAATATTTTGAAGTTACCGCATTTATTTTGCACTTTTTAATAATTATTTTCAAGACGAAAACAAACTAATGTTGAAAAATATTTAGAAAGACTTTATTCTAAAGCAATAACGATCGTAATAAAATATATTTAACCCATTTTTAATCAGACGCATATTCCCTATCGTCATAAATTATAATAGTTGTATACAATACAAATAAAATAAGATTTACCTCGTTTGTTTCGCAACTTTAGCGTTCCTTATTGTTATAAGTTGCTGAGCTATTACGGAGAGCACTTCAATGTCGATACGGTTGAACTCATCGAAACAGCACCAAGCACCCGAGGTAGCCAAGCCGGAGAAGAAACGGCCCATCATTTTGTAGTCCAGACCTAACGGGCAAATATTTTTTGTTTTTTTGTTCCTATACAGCAATCGTAAATTTTACTAGACTAATCGGTAAGTAGCTCGGTGGCGTAGTGGATAAGCGCTGCGGCCCGCGATCGTTGTTGTTAAGCAACTTTCGCAAGGGTCGGTCACGGGATGGGTGACCAAAAAATTATTATCTCGAGCTACTTCGTGCTTCGGAAGGTACGTTAAGCCGTTAGACCCGGCTGCATTTGCAGTCGTTAATATCCTTCAATCCGCATTGGGCCAGCGTGGAGAGTCATGGCCTATCCTCCTTAACCATCCATAAGGAAGGCCTGAGCCCCTGCAGTGGGAACGTAAAGGGGCTGATGATGATGATGAACCAGTAAGCAACATCTAGATTTAAACTGTAATGAAGCGGAGTTGGTTTAGCAGTGATTGAAGGCAATTGAAATCATCAAGACAATTGAATGAAATGCCAAAGACCATCCCTATGAATGAAATTGAATTGAACGGGGAGAATGGCCCATAATGGGGAGAATGGAAGTGAGTTTTATGTTTCAAAACGTCTGTTCATTTCTCGAACTAAGAACTAGTTTTTTTTTAAATGAATGAATGCAGTTTTATTTTTCACTAAAATCGATAACATGATTAGTAAGAACAACAGGCTTACTCTTGAAGGCAATGACAGTGTCTATTCAATCAAATCTTAGCTCGTACTCTTGAAACAGACTCAATTTTTACTCAGTGTCAATTAGTTCATACAATAATCACGCAATATTGAGCCAATTGGCGCTAGTGTACCAAATCAATAGTACGAAACGTTACAATAGTGTATTCTACTCCGTTTGAAATGATACTTGTAAATGTTTATTTCAATTAAACATAAAACAAATATTTTCTTAAAGTCGAATTAAAATTTAAACATTTTTATACCCGCGAAAACACTGTCAATGCCATATAACATCGATTATGAAATAAAAAGATATAAATAAGCTAAGTACAGCGCCATTTAAGAATTTGATTAATAATTAATGGTAGGCGGGACGTGCTTCAACACACATACAATTTTTTTTTTAAGATAATTGTGCGACTTTAAAACTCAAAATCTGAATTTCTATGTTTATAACTATTTAAATTTAGGTTTTGTGCGATTTTGTGACTTGGTTTTCACTACCGAAACTGCCCTACTGCAAGTCGATCGATCGCGATTGCCCTAAAAATATATAATGTAATCCCTAAAAATGTTGTTATAGTATGACCGTTTAAATGAGTCCTCGCCCGCGCGGTACAGGGGCACGGGGTATGACGACAAAGGGGACCGAGAGAGAGGCGGGCGGCAGGCGCGCGCGCATGAGACGAAATGCACACTAGACAGATCCTAAGATATGTGAACGGGATAACGGTGAACAAATTGTGATTTTTTTATTTGAAAATCAATTGATGATTACATAAAATTTAAAAGAAAGAAAATTTAACTTGTGTAGGTAACTAAATAAAATATTTAGTAATAAACTTTTGTACTATTTATTAAATACAAGAATTATCAAAATTATAAATCAATCACTTATGTCCATATCAATATCAGTGGAACTTGATTCTTCACTTTCAAAGCTGCCGTCATCAGAATCATCAGAGTCGTCCTGAGTGTTAATAATAAAATCAACAGCATCATCTCGAAGTCCGTCATGTTTACAGTACTCGTCCTCGATTTTAATTACGTGGTTAACACAATGCTCCCACCTCTCTATGGAATATTCAGCAAATAATCCCTCTAATGTAATTTTTTTTTGGTCCAAATTTGAGTCGACACTTTTTTGTGCTAATTGTCCCTTAATATCTCAATAGGGTTCAGGTCTGGGTGGTATGTTGGCAAACGCAACACTTCATGTCCGTTTCTCTTCAATAACTCGTCAATTTTATAAATATCTTCCGTTTCTGTATTTTTAATTAATTTAAATAAGTCATCCTTTCTAAGCTCATCATCAAAAGCCACGCCTTGTCGTCGTAACCATGTTTGCATAACTGCCTTGGTAGAAGCCATAGTCGGCTTTTTCTCTTCTCGAACCGAATGGTAAGCTGCGTTATCCATAACGATGATAGAATTTGGTGGTATATTAGGCATTAGCTTTTCATTTATCAATTTACTGAAATTCACAAAATTCATAGAATCATGATAATCACCTGTTTTACATTTGGATTTAAATATCACAAGTGCTCCGTCTACAAATCCAGTTTGACCTCCGCAATGTACGATGATCAAACGGTTCCCTTTACCGATATGAGATAGCACGCCATGTACATCCTTTGATTGCCAGCATTTTGAAACGTTATGAGACGCATTTACATAAGTTTCGTCAAGATATAAAATATGTCGTCCTTCTCTACGATATTTTTTAATAGTCTTTAGGTATTTCCACCTCCACGATGTTATATTTGGCTGTTCAATAAGAAGTTTCCTTTTAGAACCGCACTTCTTAAATTTAAAACCAAGATCATGTAACAGCCTTAAATATTCCCTGCCGCAGTGTAATATATTCTCTTGTCTAAGTACAGCATTCAAAGTTTTCAGAGTAGGTATATTTTTTTCAATTGTGTAAAACTGAGTCACTTTTCTTCTTACCACTCCTTTTGTGAAATCGTCTATTTCCACTCTTTTTCTGCGAACTTGTTTCGGTTTTCTCGGTGAGGTGAATCTTTCGTTGTCTTTCAATAATTTCCCTTGCTGTACAATTCTAGATACAGTCTTTTCCGATAGCCCAGTAACTTCTGCTACGGTTTTATTTAAAGGTATGTCTTGTTGATATTCAACAGAATTTGGGTCCAATTTTTTTTTTCTAAAGTATTCGTAAACCTTAAAAGCCATTTGCTTGCACTGACTATTAACCTTATGTCCGAAAATATTGCGATTCATCTTGAGAATGTAATCTCATGTATATCTCTCACAAAGCCTCCGCAAAAATCAGCACATGTGTTCGCTACTCGCGTAACGATCGAAATGAGGTAAAACAAAAATGCGCCCGCCGCCCGCACCTCTCTCGGTCCCCTTTGTCGTCATACCCCGCGCCCCTGTACCGCGCGGGCGAGGACTCATTTAAACGGTCATACTATATATACTCTAACCTTCGGAGCAGTTGAAAACGACGCACTGTATAGCGAGTGACTTGGCTAAGTCTTTGGTTGTTTCAGTTTTACCGGTGCCAGCGGGACCTGCTGGGGCCCCACCCAGGTCTAACTGCAGAGCCCCCATCAGGCAGAGGTAGCAACGGTCAGTCAGCGGGGTTATTACCAGCACACCTGACGGAACAAGACAAAGAAGTAAAGACGTCGAAAATATTGCTGAGATAATTCTGAAATTCATAGTTTTTCACATTAACATAGGTTAACCTTTGATCCGAGTGAAAATTTATGCAAGTGTATTACAAAACTTAATTAAATTGTTATTCATAAAAAGTTTGTAGTCTACGGGGATTCTTAACAGATAGATACCTACGGGAAGTGATCAGTTGGAAAAAAAATTTTTTTTTTATCACAAGTGTACCTCCAGCGCCCAAGTATTCGTGACCATAGATGTACATAGCACTGGACATTCGCGCAACACAGTTATCTATATCTTCCTCCCAATAATATCGGATCATCTTTAGCCATTCGAAGTCATTTCTAGAAGAAGAGGAATACATTTTTTGTATTTTGTGTCTTTCATTTCTTTCTCACTTAAATATTCGTCGATGTTTTATTATTTAGATGTTCGGTTCAATGTTCGGATTTTTTGGAAGTCTTTTTTTCCTGTGTCCAACGACCAATGAAAAACATTAAAATCATTTAGGTACTTACGCTCTTTGAACATGTTTCTCCACCATATGCTGAATAGTGTCTCTAGCGTGCACATCTACTGTGATCAATGCACATAATACTTTTCTGAAAAGAGATGATAAGTCTTTGCGAGTGAGAGCGGCTAGATCATTCAAATCGCTAATACACTTCTTCTCGTAGCTTAATAGAGCAGTATCTATACGAAGAGGGATATCCAAATCGAATATTTCGTGTACTCCTTTAGCCCACATTATTTGTGAAACAGTTAACACGACCTGGAATAAAAAACAAACAGTATAAAAGATAAACATTTATCTATATCTTCATGCCGCTTTGCAAAGAAAGAAGACACGGTATTTACAAGTATACTAAGGAAATAGGGAAAATATTACTTTTAGAGGGGCATGACGTCACAACGACGCTCTTACAGAAGTTATCGCTTTCGGGGTAAATTTTGAAAAATAAATTTATTTTTAGACTTTATCTCATTATATGAATGATATTTTATGATATTATATATATTTTGGGTATATTTCATGTATATCTATAAAATAAAAATATTAAAAAAGTCTACAATCCACGTTTGTGACAGTCTTATCTTTACAGGGAGAAACTAGATGTGCGTGTATTCTTATCTTGACATTCGCACGACAATTTAATTTGTATTACAAATAATCACCTGATTAGGGTGAAGTTGAACCCACTCAACGCGAGTTCGTGCCAAATAATCTTTTAGGGCATGTTTCATACTTCGTTTGACTGAAGCGAACATTGCCTCTTCAACTTTTCCTAGCCAATCTTCAACGTTCCCTCGAGCTTTCAAGCCCTGCAAGACATATATTATAGTCAATATGATAATAAAAATGAGATAGTAGTTAGTGTGATTGCAGACATAAAGCAGTTGCTCACGTCGATTTGCCAAACTTTTAACCAGACCGATTGTGATTTTCCTGGCCAAATCAAGAAATGGCGGTATATCGTGATATGTCCGGGCAAATCGTGATATGCCCGGGCAAAACTCGATCGGCCCAAATTAACGATTTGCTCACGACATATAGACATTTCTTCTCTTATTTATCTCAAATGTTAATAGGTTAAAAAATAGGAAGAAAAAGGACATGGATATGTTTTATATATTAACGAATACGATACGAAGCTGTTTGTTATACATCTTACCTTCCCTAAGTTTATCCGTTCTCCTTCTGGGGACAGCATTGCTATAATATCAGTGGTGAGATCTTCTGGTTTCGCTGTCTTAGCGAGTTTCGCCTGCAGCATATCTCTAGTGTTGAACGACATCTCCTTCTCGACCAAAGTTCCGTCTTCGGTGATCTCCATTTCGCTTTCTGGCAATTTCACGCCGAATTCTAATTTGGCTATTGCGTCAAAACACTTTCGCAAATGAGGCTGTACTGCGTGCGGATTGCGGGTCTACAATCGTTTATGAAATAGATTAATTAGTTTAGACGTTATCCTATTCTGTTGCGCTGTTCGGCTCCTAATTTATTTTCAATTTCATATTCATTTTTTCGGTGCATGCACATAGGATACTAAAATATATTAATTAATCACATTACTACATATTAGAATGAACATTACAATAAACATACAATCACAAACAATAGGATATTCAACATTAAAATAATATTGTCTCCTACAACTGCACCAAACATTTCCTCTTTCCATGGAGCTTTAGTAAAAGTTGCGGTAATGATGTTATATTAAAGCGAGAGTGAGTAGGCGACGATAAAGGATAACATTTAAATATAAAATTAGACAGCAATCACGTTAAACAAACTTGACCAATCGAAGCTCACTAAATGCTTTAAAAATACCATTAAAGGTCAAAATAAGTTAATATATTTATTATAAATCTTCAATTAATTTTATATTATATTCATATATCTTGTTTGTTTCATATAAATCTGATATTTATACGAGATTATAATTTATTTCGTGAATTAAATAATGAAAAATAAGCTAGCAGATGGCCACCACAAAATGTCTAAATCCCACAATAATTAATAGTTTAAATTCTACCCACAAAGCAATAAGGCTTTCAATTCAATTTGAAAGTTTGTAAATTTTTTACAACCTAATATGCTATTGACTGTATGTAAATCAATACGATGTAGCTGATGTAAATTCAATCGGTCACTAAAATAGTTCTTTACTTGAAACGTCAAACATTGATTTGGGATTTTGTTCTACATTAGGGTTTTGTTATTTTTAAACAACAGCTCTCCAATCAGTAATGGGACCTCTTATTGTTATTGGAGTTACGTTAGTATACCTGGGCTAATATCTCCAGTAGCTCATCATTCGAAAGGAAGAAGAATCTTGGGAACGCCACTCGCTTAGTTTCAAGGTATGCCTCGAGACACTTCATAATTTGGTCTAACATCTCATTATTGCGAACGAATTCTTCATATAATTTCGGTTGAGTGGCTGCTGGCATAGCCAATGGAACCTGCAGTTGTCAACAACTTAAGTTAATCAGGACTCATAGACGAGTGTACAAGTCCCATTTGACCCTTTCATATATTTTAAAGATGAGAAAACAAATCATTCATACCCGATTTCATTATCCTATGACAAGACATAGCTTAACTAGCAATTAATTATTGATTTCTTATATTTTCACGCACACTACCCCTTAAATGAAACAACTTTAAACGGTTTCATCGCATCTGTATTTAGTTTTATTGATGTTTCGAAGCCTTTACAGGTTCCGTATTCACATAAGACGTTGATTGTCTTTTTAATTAAAAGTATAGCTTCCTTCAAAAAACCAATACTATTGGACACATTCACAATAGAAACAATTTTATGGTAATATTTACATTTATTAAATTAAACTTTTTTAAAAATACATTAGTTAAGAGTTATTTATTTATCCCCTTTTTTTGTTTTGAGAACAAAAACAAGAAAAATTATCTGGTCTTGTATACGCGAACACCCAAGTCGTTGCCCATATGTCCGAAAATTCGAAAATTCTCATTGTTATTCCAACTTCCAAAATTGATTTTATCCCGTTACATGTCCTTTGTGGTCAAAGAGTGAATGTCTCTGTCACATTAAGCAAATGCCCAAAGCACCGCACCGTAGGTACAATGCATGTCCTAACTATAAGGGTTGTTTAAAGTCGTTAAGTAGCTCCTTGCCTTGGTGAAATGCATATTTACCTTAGACAATGCCCAAATATTTAGGTGTCAGATTTGGGTGACTCCTAAGTTTAGTGAAAACGGGCATCAGAGTGGTACGTATAAGTGTAAGTTTTACGTTAACGCGTTCACTAGTAAGCGCGATCGGTGAGGCCGGATTCCATATTAAAATCTTAATGCACTCATGATCGACGGTGAACGTAAACGTCAAAAAGCTTAAGTACTATCTCGAAAACTGTGTTAAAACATATTTGGAATATGATAATGTTACCTTTGCTAATTTGCGCATGATGTCTTTCCATGACTTGTCCACAATAGAGAAAAGCCGAGTCTCATTTGGCAGTTGTCTCTGAATGTCCGGCGCCGAAAATATAACTTCCAAATAAATCCATGTTTGTTGACAGGCATACCATTCTTCCTGGAATCAGAGTGGAATGAATGAGTTAATAGTTAATCGTTGTACTATTAATTTATTCTACAAGGAGAGTGAAGCACTTCTATTTGTATTTTTAAATTATCCTCACTAACGGTTGTCGGAAGAATCTGGGATTCTGCAAGGAGAGCTCCAGAGACATTGAGACCCTATTAAGGTCCCACCTGTTTGTTAAACTACATGAACAGCGACGAACATGACATGGTAGAAATCTAAACTCTTAACCACCAATGTGCGTAGATAGAATACATGCGTTTTATGGGTGTAGTTGTCTATTTCATCACAATATTATTCTTACCAATGTCTTGGCGAACAAATCTAGATTTTTATACCACTCCTCGACTCTGCTCTTAATGGGGCCGCAGCTTCTGGAGCTGAGTATCGTACTGATATGGATGTTGCTTTCATCAAGTGCTGCCTGTATTTCTTCCAGTCCACCTAATACGTACACATCACGGGCGTCCTTATGTAATAGCACTGGGAACTCTAATGCTGCCCACATTTCTTCCACCTGGTCAAAAATATAAAAGAGACATGTTGCAAAGCATCGACCCAACAAACCGCATGCTACTTGGTTTAAGCTAAAACTGCTGGAGTAGTCTCTTTTGCATTGTCTTTAAATTTACAATAATCTTTTTTAAACTTTCTGTGGTCTTATTGCTAATCGCATAATAAATAATCAGTAATCTTTTATAGGAATACAGACAGTATTTCTGTTTTATTTAGTCTATTTAAAAATCGTTATACCACTATAAAAACGTCTAACCCTTTTATACACGGTTGCCAACTATTATGGTTTTTGCCATTACTGATCTTCTAAATCTGGCCGTGAGAGGTGAGTATTGGCTTCCTTCGTTTTCTATATTGTACCACTATCGTTAATAATTGGTGGTTCATTTATGAATAAAATAACAATGATATCTATGGATACTACTATTTCAAAATTACTATCTAAAGTGTTATGTCTACACAACGTCTCGCATACTCCTTCTTATTAGTGCGCTTGTATTGTGTGAATATTTATCGCATTCAAACCTATCAAGTGTAATTACTGAACTTATGAGCGCACTCAATCTAGTCAACCCATAGACCGACACAAAATTTTGTCTCTGATACACAATCAATGTTACACAGAATATTATACTTTAATTATTTATACAGATAGTTTTATTATTTATAAAGCTTTATAGAATACAACGTTGGACCTTTTTCAATAACGCTTCCAATCCCGCCTCCGAACTGGCCTGTCCAGCTACTTCCATCAATTCTTCAGCATGTTGGAACGCGTGCAAGTCCTCGAGTAAGCTGAGCGTTACGACCAAGTCGGGTGTGAACCGTGTGTGCAGGATCTCCTCAATTTTAACCCAATGTCGCGGCTTCAGTGCTGGGTTGCGTAAGTACGACATCACAGGTATCTAGTAAATTAAAAACACTTAAAATTACTAATTTAAATTCACCTTTTGTTACATTGAAAACAGGAATAACCTATTTTAAATATCCTGTTTTGTCTATTAGAAATAACAACTGCCAAATATTTTGTTTATTTGGTCAAATCATGATTTGAGTCGTATTTAGTGCCAGAATTTTTTCTGTTTAAACATTTGACAGTTAGATATTTATAAGTTTTACCAAGTTGCGGCGATGATTAAGAAAACATTCATTACTAGTATTTTATACTCATTAGCTTAGATAGCTATTAGCTACTTATATACTACAAGCTATTTTCGCGACTTCGCAAGCGTATGATGCACTTAACTTCTGGTGTTTGAAAGAATTGTAATTTTGGTCCATTAGTTTCGGAGCCTATCCAATGCAAACAAAGAATGAAATCTTTCCTTTTTATAATATTAGTATAGATATCCTGGATAACTCAACTCGATATATATTTAAAACTAGATAAACAAGACGATGTGTTCTTCGTATCACTATAAGAACCTTTTAACCTTCCCTGGACTACGACAGCGATAAAAACGAATGGGAATAGATTTTTTGTATAACAGACATAGACAGATAAAATATAATATTATCCAAACCTAAATTATCCAAACCATAATAAAAAATATATACAAATAGACAACAAACTGGTATAATAATAGATGAAGGACGAAGTATTACCTTCTCTTTTATTATGTCTATAGTCTCTTTACATTTAGGTACTATCTTGTTGGGGGGTAAACCTTTATCAAGTTGATTAAATATCTTTCCATAATTAATAGTCGTTGTTTGTATATCGTCCATGTCTAAAGTATGGAATGGTAGCTCATACCTGTCGAAAGAATCCCATGGATTATTTTTTACATTTTATTTCTGTACATTTAAAAAAAATTGTTAGTTTCATTTTAGCTCGATGACGCAGTGGGTAGCGCGCTCGGTCTGCGATACAATTGTTAAGTAAATTTCACTATGGCCAGTCATAGAATGGGTGACCAAAATTTTATTAACTCCATCTCCTCCGTGCTTCAAATCGAACCTTGAACCATTAGTCCCGGATGCATGTGCAGTCGTCAAGACCCACCAATCCACACTGAGTCCGCGTGGTGGCTTTGACCCAATCTCCCTATTCGTTTTGATTCAATGTAATTAATGAATAAATTACTATTATATTATAATAAAGCTCCTAAAATAAGAATAAATGTGTAAATAATCAAGTATAAATATTGTATTATCTTTTTTCCAGTAGGTACTAACTATAACTGTACTCGACAAAGTCTGTTACCTTAGTGTAAAGTCTTTCTTTATCAGATATCATGTTATAGCTTTCGGTCACAAAACATTGTAGTTTTACAGTTATTACAAAAGACTCCGGCAAGGTATGATTTATACATATATGAGTACTCGAGTCTCTGTGTTGAATATTAGCAAAACACAAGAGCTTTAAAAATTAGACAACATCACAAGATTGTTGGGATCTGAACAATTTTGTGATGTTGTCTAATTTAAAAAATAACAAAGCAAGATTATCTGTTATTGTAATAAAAGAAAATTTTGCATACCAAGACTGGTACATATCGTTCCATTCTTTTGAAGATTTCCAAAGCAGTTGTCTAAGTTTCACGTCGTTAATAGTTTCGTCTAACTGTTCTAATCTGGCTGGTGGTATTTTGAATATCTTTTGCCACTCGCGAATTTGCTTATCTCTGGCAGAGCATTCCTGTAGCTTCTCTTGCAGATCAGCGAGGGTCTCTAGTACTTTATCATAATCTGATTTGTAGTCGTACAACCAAGGAGCCTACAAAGTTTAGAAAAAAAAAATATGTTAGCCCTTATCGGAAATCTTTATCAATATGTTTCTCGAATAATTAAATAAATATAGTCTTATTAAACCTCGTATAAGTGTAAACTCTGTCCTCCATTAAGGTCATAGCACGTCTAAACGTATGTAATATGACAGACTTCATAACATCAATATAAAATTAAATCTTGAAGTTGATATCCGCCATTGGATTGTTCGAATATCGTTATGCCATATATTATATAACATGCAATTTAATATTAATTTTCAAATGGCAAGTAAATCGCCGTATTGCAGCTGTGCCGTATAAGTATGCTATGACCTTTACGATATATTTGAAATCGCAATAGTCTTTGCATTAAAAATGCTAATTATATATGTAATATATGAATATGAAGTGATCACGGAAGTGGACAGAACGAGTATAGAAACATGATACTTATTATGACGCTACCATTGCCGCTCGTGCTGCCTGGCACACCCAAAAAAGATTCGTTAAAAATAGCCTAAAAGTTTTGTGATAAAATTACATTAAAAATTACTTTATTATGTCATCATACATTTTTTCACCAAGTTTTACTCTATTAATAAGCCACATTTTGTTAGGACAAATTTCGTAATGCTTACCACAACTTCATCTCTTAATTTGTTAACGTCCAATATAAGCTCCATTATATCTTTGCCGATTTGACTTGCGAACAGTCCTGCGAGTTTGCTGCGAGTCTCTATTCGAGCATCTACGTTTGTTCTGAGAGTACCCAGGGCAACGCTTAAACCTGACGTCAAAAAAAAACATTATCATGTACACCGCTTTTAAAATAGGCTCAATTACACATTTAGTAGCTGATTACCTAAATAATCGGTCATGTCATCTGGTGGTATAGGGATATTGAATTCGCCCATTAGATCGTATAGTTCACGCAGATACTCTAACCTCTCCTCAAGAACGACTACACGTGGCTCCAGTCCATCCAGCATAAAATTAAATGCAACAAGCTCGCCGGCGCTCTCGGGCTCTTTGGTAATGTCGTCTGTGATATTGTCTATTCCATTGAGGATCTCTTCGATACAGGCATGTCCAATACTACAAATGCCAATTGACTTAAAATAATAATAAAACTACCACAACTACAAATGATTATTCGACAGGGAATGGTCTTAATGTCTTTCCATTAAAAATGTGGCAGTGGCAGCGCAAACCGAAATACGCCGTTCCCTGGGGCAGACCTAAGTTTTTGTGCTATAAGTCTCACTGCAGTTTGTTAATATAAAGTAATGTGAGATAACTAAGTAAGGGTTATAATTTCCATAGTAAATATTGTGATCTCTATATACTCACTCTGGTGTCACATTTAGAACAACCTCAAAGAGACGACGAGGTTGAGGTCTGAACAGCTCTTGGAAAGGACATAAACATAAGAATATTAGACCAAGGGGCTGATAGGCTACCACATCTTCTATGTCTTCCATTTGCTTGTTAAGCTTATCGCAAAGTTTTCGAAATCCGTTTACATCTCTTTCAGCTTTTATCAAATTCACGTCCATTTCGTGAGCTTCTTTAAAGTTGTCCATAAAACATTGCATCCTTTGCAAGAACGTCCATACAGAATCATAGGCGAAATGTACAGAGTGTGGAATAAAAGCAATATCTTCCAACATTGTTTTATCCTGATTCATCAGGAAATATAAATTCGGAGCTACACCAGCAGACCATTCTGTTTGTTTTCCCATTATAGTGGGTTGAACAAATATTTGTAAAGATTCTTCATTTAAAAAGTTGTGGAATGTTCGTACATATTCATCCCAATAATTCGTTATTTTCTCTAAATAAGATGATATCACTTTTTGGCTAGGGTTTAACTCTACTTCACCATTTGGCATTACATAAGCATCTACTTGGAACAATGCCCACTGTTAAAAAAAAATTAGTATGTTTAATGTATGATTAATATTAAAAAAATGATAATGGAATAAAGAGCATAGCAAAGTGATGGCCTAATGAACCGGCAATTTCGCTAGTTAGTTTTCCTACAACATCTTTATTTAAAATGTTCAGAAATAACCTTGCACGTATCTGTATCTCGTGGTAAAACTTCTAGGACTTCGTCGACTTCAGTGCCAGCGAGAAGCTCGCTGTCGGGTGTAAATTCTACATGCTTACGTAGCATAGCAGCCATCATAGTGTTAGATCTTTTCGTCAAGCGGTAGAGCATATAATTTGTCATGTAATCCGTAACTTTGATAAAACTATTGGACAAAAATTGGAAAAATATTGGTAACAGTAGATTAAGAAACAATAACTAACTCATGTCAACCTTTTTTTATTAAACATTACCTTATGTTATCAATATTAAATACAATCCAAATAAATTTAATTCTGAAGATCAGAATAATATATAAGTAGACCAGACATAAAAAAAATTATAGTGGCTTACCTAGCTAACCTCTCGCAATATTTCCTTTTATTGGCTTTTTCAGTGTAAGACATGCCACCAGTTGGTTTGCCCCTTATAATTTGAAATGGTGGTATATTTCGGTCATCAAAAAGGAAGCCTTTTTGATAAAGAGCCGTATGGCATGCTTGAACAATAATTTCTAGAACGACTGAACGAAACTCACTAAGCTTGTCTCGCATGTACTCAATTTGTTTCATCTGTAATACACTGTAATATTACATCTAATACTATGTTATTTATTACCTTTAAGTATAATAATTTATAACAAACAACAACAATATTTTTTATTGGAACTTTACACTTTACAGGTATTATCATTAGTTTAAAAACTGAGTTGCAGCCACAAACGCCTTCATTGTATAAAGAACAACGTTCCACTCGACGTATTAAATAATTCAAGTTTAGAATTAAATTAAATAGCATGCATTCTTATCATTACTACTGTGTGTGTAGAATGTTAGTGTATATGAAAGTATGAGTATGTGTATATGAGTGTAAGTTTGTGTGTATTTGTATTATATGTTATGTTTTTGTGTATTTCTTTTATACAAACTGCAATGAATCACTATATGTCTGTTTACATACAACTCTTTAACAAGTCCTCAGTATCACTGTAGGATAATGTTTTTAGCCACTGTACCAATCGAGTTTTGCATTCTCGCGAAGTGAGAGGATGTAATTCTATTAAGTTATTAATTTTGTTGTATAATTTTGGAGCCAAGAAGTTAAAATGTTTAGCAGATACAGATAACCTACACATCTCGATTTTACACGGCAAGACTGGTCTACGTTTGATTTACAGGAGTAAGGCTTATCACTTATAGTTGGAAATGGGAGTTGAGCGTGTTGCCGTAAAATAATTTGCAGGAGATAAATCTGACGCACTGTTAAAACGTCATTAAGAGCATACAACTCAATAGTGGGGAAATAAACTGGTTTGCCGATAATAACCATAAGCACCGCTCTATGAGCACTTTCTATAGTCGCAAAAGTTCTGTTTTTCCTGAGCTTCCCCAGACGGATATACAATATGAAAGAACAGATTGTCCCAATGCATAGTAAACTGTTTTTAATGTATCATAATCAGTTACATGTCTGAGGTTCTTTATGAATCTTCATCAAAAAGTAACAAGTATGAGTGCGAGTATTACCTGGACTTCTATGAAATAGAAGAAGGCAGTGTCCATATCTCTGCTTAAATCGGCAAAGCTTTTCATGTACATCTCACAACACATGGTCTGGATACTTAATAAAGCCTTTCCCAAAACAGGAGTAAGAATGAATAGATTCTTTGCAATTTTCGTACGAATTTTACTATATTTTCTATATAGAATTGACTTACGCCAAACATAAAATGCTTTCCAATATCTATAGACGCTGAAGAATTTTATCTAAAACCATTTGAAATGTTATTTTATCAAGAACAGAAATATGATGAAAAGTTCGAGGACATTAAGTACTTAGTGCGTTCGATTTGCGATTGCAGAAGTTAATCAAATTTCAGTGATAAGATGGGGGACAACAACAGTATTATTTCGTTAAACCGTTAGTCCCGATTGCATCTGCAATCGTTAACACTCACCAGTACCGGCTGGGTCAGATTTGGGGTATTCTTTTTTGTTTATAAGAAAATATAATGTTTTCATTTCCAGTACACATCTAATATATTAATTTGTTAATATATTTATATTATTTGTTGTTAGATTTGTGTGTTACTTCCTATCTTGAGATGAGGATATAAATAGGTTGATAAAGTACAGACATATTATTTCTTACATCAGTGAGCTTTACAAATATGGTGTATTCTTGTTCCCATGCTTGTATTTTCGTGAATACCATTTCATTTGTATAATGGGTGACTCCACAAGGACTGATAGTTAGATAATTCCTTTTATCAATTTCTTCATAAGGAACCACTCTGAAAATAATAATTTGGGTATTTTTGTAATAAGTAAAGAATCTGGGGTGCTTCAGCCTCTGAACATTTTTTAGTTAAGTTTGTGGTGCTATAAAGTTTAGTAACATAGGCAAATTTCTGACTGTTCGTATTCTATAATGTTAGACTTATACACAAGTCTTGGGCCAGTTTTCTTGCCTTGGCTTGTGGTTTGGTTCTTCATTTTTGTTTGCTGATATATTGAAAAGTTTGTTAAACAATTATTTTTTTACCCAGAGGATCTTGAATATCATCAAAGTGTTAATAAATTGAAAATAGTCTACTTTTATCCAACATTGCATGATTGCTGCTTGTTTGAATGAAAATATGGAAGAAGTCATTTATTTAATAGAAAGGCCTTTATATTTTGTAAAGAAATATTCTGAATATAGACTCTTTATTAGTCTTGGGCTTAGAATATAGGACTTCCATATAATAATAATAATAATAATAATAATAATAATAATAAATGTTTATTTGCGAGAATATGGTACACATGATGTTACACAGACTCCTTTAATTATATAATTCAGAAGATAATGGATTGATTAATAATACCCAAATAAATAGTTTATTTTAATCCTACTTACTTCAAATAATATGGGGTAAAGTAAACATTTTCTGGATGAACTGCATATATCATATAAAGAAACCCACATGATGGGTTTTGTTTCACATAGTCAATAACTTCCTTTTGTGATGCTACTACAGGTTTCACTTTTAATGGATCTTTTGTACATTGTTCCTCAAAACTTTGTATTTTTATTTTCTTCTTTTTATCTTCAAAAGATGAGTATAGAATGTTAATAATTATGTTTTCATAACCTAATGAATTTCAGAAAAAATAGGAGACTTATTTTTCTGAACTTTTTTGTAGCATGAAGACATTTGTGGTATTAAGAATTCATCGCTTTTTTATGATCTTGTTGTGGACCATGGACTTCTAGCAAATTACAAACCAACATTCTGAAAAAAGTAGGACTAACTTCTGGTCCTTATTTCAGGACCTTTGTGAGAAAACCACAAAAAACATGTGATCGTGAAAGTTGGTTTCAGCTTTGTTTCCCAAAAATTTAATGATGTTTGGATTGTTGTTGATGATCAATTTAGCAACCACAATGCTATTTTGATAAGAATCTTTAACAGTTAGCAGCAGTAAAAGTAACAAGCGCTTGAAAAGTTCATCAGTTCTGGAGTCTCAAATGAGAGTGTTATACACAGTATTTTTGAAGCATATTCAACATACCTACTTGCAGACCCTCAAAGCTTGCATTATTGGCTTTGAGGGAGGCCACAAGTTGGGAAACACCAATTTAATCTAAATTGACTAGCATACCTTACATTTTATATTGCCCAACAGTATACTGTTAGTAACACTTAACCACAGATGATTGCATTTTTGAACACAAAAAATTACATATACCTTTCTAAGTTACATAAAATGAATGTTATTAATGGTTTATAAGCAATTTACTAAATTATCTACCTTACCATCCTCAGCTTTTGTTGGTTCAAGCTGCAAAACTGCTACTTTTCGTTCTTTTTTAAATCTTTTCTCTTGCGCTGCACCAAACCCAGTCTAAAAAGTAATAAAATCAATTTTAACTAAGTTTAAGAAACCTACTGACCTATGAACTATGTGTTTTTATACCTCTGGCTAGGTTTATACCCAGTGGCAGAATATTATTATGCTAAATATACCCATTAAAACTAGTACTTGCATTTAATACTTCTTGTAATTCTATACTTCATACTACATTTTCATGCTTCTACATTGACATTATAAAGAGGAAATAGCAGATTTTATTTTTGCATTGAATAAGTTCTGAAACTATGGGATAAACTTAAAAATATTTTACTATAACATTGTCATATATGGATGACATATATTATAATTATAAATGGGCAAAGTCAAAAGAAAGGCTAGTTTTTTATATTGCAACGAGTGGGATGGGATACCCACTTATTCCAGCTAACTATTAGATACTGTTACTCTTTATGACTGATGACTGAATATAATAAAACAAATTGTTTTACTTACCAATGGCTCTGGTTCAGGTTTGACAAACTCAATTCTTTCTAATAACTTTTTGTGAGGTAGATGAAAAGGTATATCACGGGGTCTTCTAAAAATTTTTTAAATATAACAATGAGTTATATGTACAAGTACAGAATTATGGCAATAAAAACACACATTAATAAAATTATTACTAGAATAAAGGGTACCTAGAATGGAATGTAGGAGTTTTCTTAACATTTCTCTCTAAGATTTCAATAGCTGGTAATGTGTTATTACGTCTCACGTTTCCATTGAACATCGCGACAATATTTATTGTTCAGAGTTAGAAAAAAAACTTCTGAGTAATTGAATTATTAAGACATTTTTGGGAATCTACTTATTTATATAATAGTAACGAATTATTTACGTTAACGACGAAATTACTGCAGGAAAGCTAGGCTGAAAAATATTAATTCATTTCTTTCAGTCAATTGTTTTCTATTTGGTTGTCAAGATTTGTTTTACTTCCGTAGTAGTATAGTTTGTTTCGTCAATAGGACAGAGCATAGAGAAATATAATATTACCAAAAGGAAGGACAGAGAGACAGGCAAATTTGTTATTGTTTGTTATTTCCGTTTCTAGGAAACGATTTTTTTTAAATACAGTTCAAGAAATCTAACTCATAGGTATTGGCATGACGTGCTGTCAAATGTAATTAAAATTTCATGTCAATTGTCATCAAAAAATTTGTGTTCATTTCAACATTTTTTATTTATTTGTACAAAATAAATTCTTGAAAGTTATTCTCACCAACTGACTGAAAATTAATGATTGAGTGAACGCGTGAATAAAATTTTAACGACATCTATGGTTCCTATCACTACGGAGTACGACGTAACATAATTGTATTGTGGACGTACTACGCAATACATAGTAACGTAGTCTTTGTCAATAATGGTTACCTACGCCTTGATTGGCATCTTTTTTTATTTCTAAAATAGTAATCATGCGGTAACTGTTGGAGGTTATCAGTATTATTTACAAACTACAGTTTATTTCTTTACCTTTATTACACTTACAAAATGTATGAACATGGATGGAAGCCCATTAGACATAAAACTTAGTGTTTAAATTCTTTTTGTTATGCATCATAATAACATATTACCATAATATGAAAAACATATAAAAGAAAATTACGAATGTTTATAAGTAAGAGTGAATGTATTTTTTTTTTATATAAGATATTCATTATTATTTCTTCTTATCCTGTTTTACACATTAGCTAATATTGTAGCACATGTTTATTTAAGTAACGTAGATAGGTTGTGATGGCATACAAAATGGCTCAATTACACTGGTCGATAGAATCAGCCCTGCAATTCTGTAAACATCCAATCCCAAATTCGAATGCTCTGAGTGGCCAACGCTCAATCTTGATTTGGTAATAACGATTCGTGCCATAAGTAAAGAGAGTTTCGATATAGTATAGGAATAAAATATCTGAGACAAGAAAAATCAATAAATTTTGTTTTGTACTTTCATATAAAAATGGATACATTAGAATTTCTTCATCAAATCACGAGAACTTAGACACATAAGTGCATGTGGATGTTATCAATCAGTGCAACTGAGTAATAAGTCAAAAAGCTTAAGTTTTATTCGGTGAATTTGTACTTTCTTGAACGACAACATATTGGTTAAATCCAAACGTCGGAATGCCTGAAATCCGAACTTCAAGTTTGATACATCCGACATTACCGTTCTTCAAAAATAATGAATATTGACTGATATTTTTTTTAAATCAGCGAGTCTTATGCGTTATCAGATTCTATATATATTTTAAAATTAAAAAATAGCAGTCATATTCATTATTAATGAAGAACGGTAATGACAAAGTATGAAGTACTAGGTGGGGGGTAACGCAATATATTGCAGTACTCATGGTAGCCAAATGTAAAAAACATTGCGAGCTTTGTCATCTGTCATACCATACTATGTAGGTACTCATATTTCTTTCTTTGGGGAGATTTGTGACTGATATTGACAGATTGTGCAATCAAATATATATTATAACAGTGCTTGATTCGTGCGATATCACTCGTCGTTATCACATTGCATGAAAAGCCTATAAAAAGTTTAACAAGAATATTGTCTATGATAATAGCCGCAGTAGTTAAAAAACTGAACCATGTTATTGTAGAAAGGGACAAATAGCCTCTGTACTTAATATCTCTCTTGGCTCCTTTCTTCAGCTAAGAGTGCTTTATCCTGTTGCATGTATTAAGTCTATGATCAGAATTTAAGGGTAATCGGGAATTTTTAATATATCTAACAGAAAGTTTGGTTTCCGCGATTTTGCACCGGTACAATGTTGGTTAATGTGTAGAGTGGCCATTATAGTCGATATTTTCGTATTTTCCTTTTGAGGCATTTTTTTTTGGTTCATTATGTTCTTCTTATTTGGGACAGGCAAATGTGAGGTCTAATAAAACATTACAGCTCTAACAGCAAAGGATGTTCATATATTTTTTAGTCTATAGTATAGACTATAGAGGAGTCTTTTTATAATCTATGGAGTCTAGAAAAGAAAAAATGAGTGAGTGAGTGCGTTGCGTGATGCGTGAGCAAGAAAGATAAATAAGATTTTAAAAAGATAGAGCTATTTGTTTTACGAAGATAAATGAGAAATCTGCTAATTCTACTATTATTTAAGAAATAATATATTTTTCAATAGACTGTTGATGAATCTTTACATAAGCGTCACCTAAATAATTTTATTGGAGCTTCCGAGTTACTTTCACTTAGCGCTTCGTTCGACATGAAATTGTATTTCACCATCGATATAACGCTCGTGCAAAATTAAAACTATGTCATAAATGGATTTCAGTCTTATGTTTGTTTCATATAGTTCGTAATAACGGTTAAAGTTTTCTTACCTAATATAGTTAAGTTTATCGTGAAGTAAGTTGTTGTGTGTCACGTAAGGTAAGTAAAAACCATTTCTGTTGAAATATCTAGATAAATTACATCTAATTGTCTCTTAACGTTAGTACGATTCCAGTTTTACCCATTTTCACAATAAGCTTCACCTGATTGTTATTGTAATTCTAGAGATGACACTACTTATTACTAAAATACTTGAGATTATTTAATAGTACTTGATTCCCCTCAAGTAGCTAAGTTGCACAAACATCCATTAGAATTCTCATAAGTTTAAAACCCAAAAAATTTTGACATTGGATGTTTGTGCAACTGACTGTGAGCTAGGTATTTTTATAGTATCTAGCACATACATAGAGTTTTCAAATTAATGTCTCATTTATCTTGTAATATTTTCAATCATGGAAGGAGGCTAATAACATCTCTGTGCCTGAGAAACTTAAGCCTGATTCCATATCTGATTATAGTCTTATTTGAATATTGCCTTTCCTCTCAAAAGTCCTTGGAAAACAAATCCAACAACTTCTAAAAGCCACAACAATCAGGTTTTGCTCTGGTCATAGTATGACTACTGCAATAGTCAGAATTGCAGATGCCATCTGTGTAGGTATGGTAAATCAACAGCTCACCATATTAATGCTGTTAGATTTTAGTAATGCCTTCAATACTGTTGTTTTTGAAATCTAATTGGAAACCTTGGTTTTTCTAATCTATCTCCACTGGTGATTGTTACCTGTGTTGGCCTGTTTGGGCAGCGGCAGGGCATTTGTGTGGCAGTCACACTAGTGTAACACATCAGCTAGTGTTCCGTAGGGTGGTGTTTGTCTCATGTTCTATTTTCTATTTCCATAAATTCAATCACCCATCTTCTGATTTCTTCTTATTATGCTGATGATTTGCAACTTTATACTTAAATATCTATAAATGATCTATGTATCGCAATTGCCACCACCAATGTTGATATTAAACAGATTTATGATGGGAGTTGTTGACACTGTCTAAAATTTAACCCTCGTAAAACTCAGGCAATTTTATTGGAAGCCTATTTGATTGCACTTTATCTTGGAGCGAACATGTTGGAGAGGTCACTAGGAGGAGGGTGTTTGGCATGTACAACTCTCTTAGGTGATTTAAGAATCTATTATTTTCACTTTTACCTAAGCCACTTCACTGTATGTCAAAGCCAATTCACTGTGACCTAAATGTTGTCCTCCTTGATAAACTAGAGCATCTACAGAATTTATGTTTTAGTTTCATATTTGGTCTACATAAGCATACCTCTAAATATCATTCCCAACTTTATTGGTTACCTATCTCTCGTAGAATAGATTGTCTTATTCTGTCACACCTTTATTCCATCTTGTTCCACCCATATACTCATCCATATCTTAAAGAGCACTTTGTCTTTAACTCTTCCAATCATATCCATGATCTGCTTTCTTCTCATAACCTATCTTTAAACATCCTCTCCCACTCCACTGATTTCTTAGCTAAGTCCTTTTTTATTAAAGCTATTAAATTATGGATCTCTCTACCAGTAGATATAAGACTTACACAAACATGCAACTCTTTTATGAAACAGATAAAAAAACATTTGCTCAAGTTAGATTCTTCCTGAATTATACTGTCTTTTTTTTTTCCTGTTTTTGTAGTAATAATGTAGTATATTTACACTTATGATAATTTAACTCACTACTTACTGATTTCCTTAATTGGTATAATTTCCTTTGGGTAGCCTGGAAGAAATTACTACCTTAGCAATAAGGCTGCCTTTTATGTTTGTTTTTGCTTGTAAATGTTTGTATAATTAATTCATTCATTATTGCTTTAGGTATATCAAAGTACTATATAAAAAATTTTCAGATTGAATGGGTTCCTCAAAGTAATATCTGGTAGCAACGCTTCCTTGAAGCAATAGTTTTAGTTGCCATTGAGGAATTGAATGGCTATGTATTATTACGCAAGTAAATTGAATGAAGCCTCATGTAGTGGGTGTAACATGAAGGTGCCACCAGCCCCCACAGAACCTGCTCCAGTGCCACCTCCGCCCACAGATCATGCACCTTTACCTCCTGATCCTTCTTTGTTACATGGTACTGGGCTTTCCTATTATGATGTAAGTTATAATTTAAATTATTTTATTCTATTACAAAATCACTAGTCAATGCATTTAATGTTTAATGTTTTATAACAATTATTAAAATTTACAGAATGATGATTACTATTCAATGGTGAGAGGTAACAAATTTATGACAGAGAACTCTTGTAAACACATTGTAGTGAATGGTGGAATTAATTTTGTAACTGCTCAGAAAGTTGAAGCTCCTCAGGTATAACTTTCTTCATATTTAATTTGTCTGAAATACATTTTTCCTTTTTATAACTACTATTTATATGTATTTTTAGTTAACAAATGTTCTTGCTCCTGGTGTGAAGGCACTTCCTGCATTGCCATATGTGAACTGTCCTCCAGAAAAATCAGATATTGAATATAAAGATGGGGTTATAGTAAGCGCACCATTGGAGACTCTAGTTGATATGCTAAGACCTGGAGCAAGTAAATCATTCATGTTCACATTTTTACTGTGTTCCCGATTATTTGTTAAACCTCATGAATTACTCAGTAAAATTTGCAAGAGATATTTCAAGAGTTATGATAAAATAGTGAGTATTTTATCTATAATAACAAAATATTACTTAATGAAATGTCATTATGAATTGTCATATTATGTCATTATTTGTCTTTTTTAGGGCAAAAGTGAAGTCAAAGATTTGATTGAAAAAGAGCTCAATGACATGGTTGCTCTTGTAAGAGTGTTGAATCTGTGGACAAGTATGTTTCCTTATGATTTTCGTGATGACAGAGTCATGGCACTTGTTCGTAGTATTACACAAAGGTGGGAACTATATAGAATACTATATACCTTTGATTTAAAGTACAATAGTGATGTTATTGTTGATAATTTCTTTGTTGATTTAATTAATATCTATCTATGTTTTGACAGGTGTGCTGCTGAACACATGTCTTCAGTAAGACTTGAAGTGTCAACTATGCTTGAGAAGTTGCTTGATAAACTGACAGCTTTGGAACAATATGAAGAAACATTGGTAGAAATACCTCAGGTCTCTTCAGTTGATCAATTATCCCAGGTAATTATTATGATTGAATTTACTAATCATGATTTTTATTTTATGTATTTATTAACTAATGTCTTATACATTTTTAAATTGTACAAACATAGTAAATCTTATAACATAGTTGATGCAAGGACAAATAGGTAAACGCAGCATCCAATCCAGCATCTTAATATCTACTTATAAAGTAACAAAAATAGTACTATTGATTTGCCAATACATTATTATTATACCAAATTTTTTAAATAATTATGTTAAATATTTGTCTATTTTATTGATTTATTTCGATTTTGATTGTTTTAGGGAGATATATTGACTTTAGGCTTGACTCCTGTAGAATTAGCTAACCAATTGACAGCTGTGGAATTACATAGGCTGTCATTTGTTGGTCCTGAGGAGTTTGTTCAAACATTTGCACCTGCTCAGCCAACACAATCATCTTCTACATGTACCAAGAGTATAAACCTACATCATATCGAAACTAAGTCTACCAGAAACTTAGAGGCTTATGCAGATTGGTTTAACAGACTCAGTTATTTAGTTGCAACTGATGTTTTGAAGGTATTAAAAGCATCTTAATTATTTAGTATTTTAATCACATTTAATTCATTTGCTTTCTATTACATTAATAATGTATGTTTTAGAGTGTGAAAAGCAAATATAGAGCAAGAGTTATTGAACAGTGGGTGATGACAGCTAGAGAATGTTTCAATCTTGGAAATTTTAATTCACTAATGGCAATTATTAGTGCACTAAATATGTCATCTGTTACGAGGCTGAAAAAAACTGTAAGTAATAATTAGACAGATTGTTTGGTTTGTCAGGTAGATCATTTAATTTTTTTTTTTCCACAGTGGAGTCGTACATCTGCTGTGTGTGGTCAGCAGTTACGACAGTTGGAGCTGTGCGTTGAGCCTAGTGGCAATCATGCCAGGTATATATTATAATTGAAATGTAAAACAAGATACAATGTGCAGCATCTTATAAAGTATAGAACATCAGTATGGTTGAGCTTTAATATTGATCTTCATTTATAGATACCGAGCGGCGTTGGCTGCCGCGCCCACTGAAACAGCTGTGCCGTTATTATCAGTAACTTGTAGAGATTTGCATTTTGCCAACCAGGGTACACCATCTAAGTGAGTACATATACAATTCTTAAACAAAATTTTCATCTGATTTTTTATTTCATTACATACGTGAAATTGACAAAAGTTGTGATAATCAGAGCATACATTTTTCGATTGTACATTTGAGTGTAAGTTCTGGATTTCCATAGGGTATTTGATACTATTGAAAATAAGTTACATATTGTGGTCATCCTGTTAGATAATAATCTGACAAAATTTATTTCATAGAACCTGCAGACAAATTATCTTTAGGTTAAATAACGTAAAGTAAATGCAACATTTTTAGGAATATTAAACGAATAAAAAGCCCTTTAATTGATTGTCGTCGCAACTAATAACAGGTTTTGTTTACCGGCGTGTGACGGCACACGTATACAGGAAACTGTCATGTCAAAACAGTGTTATTAGAATTTGTATACTTTGTTTAAATAGTTGATAAATTGACATATTTACAGGCGTATGACGTCACGAATATTACGTGATCAGAGCCATATACGATACTACAACAATAATACAATTTTATCTATAGTATTATTGACATGTGTTTAGTTGTGCTAATTTTTACGTAATAATCGTATCTCAATAAATTTTATTTTGCCATTATTTTCCTCACAAGTCTATCAAGACAGATATATTTATTATTTTGTGATCTAATAACAGGAATTAATTACAGCAGATATTTTCACCCAAACAAAAATTTAAATGAAATACGAACTGTTATAAATTAGAATAGTATTGTTATTAGCTCTTAATTATTTCATAAAAATATGTGCTTAAGTACTTACTTTTACTAAATTATAGATACGAGTGTTAGCATCTTAGCAGAATTGCCCTAATGGAAATTAAATATAACATGTAAATAGGATTTCAATTTTGACATTTCTTGTTGCTAGATCACAAAATAAAACATTTTTAACCGGAAAAAAAACAGCTCCACCATGAGCTTTTACAGAATGTTACTGGTGGGATTTTACTAACCAAGTGAAATGTTTAGATTGGCCAGCAACCGTGTGAACTTCGAAAAGTGTACACTACTGGCACGGCACGTGAGCACGCAGCTGGCGAGCCGTCGTCTCACCAGCGAGGAGCCGCCAGCACAACTGCCCACACCCCACCTGCCAGTGTGGCGGTTTCTCAATGACAGACCATCGCTATCTGAAACTGGTATGTGATACCCACGCTCATTTAACTTTGAAATACTATCGATTTCTAAATATGTTTATATTTGTTTCATAATAGTGAGTGACTATTCTTATTCTTATATAGAAACTTCTATACAATAACAATATAATAAAGCTGAACTTTGTTTAAACGCACTATAATCCGGGACTACTGGTTGGAATTGGAAAATCGTTTTTGGTGCCACATGGCCGCGGCGATCTATTGACTAAATTTTACAAACTCAAAACTGATGCGACTTTGCCTCTGATCAGTTTCAGTTTACAGTTCACTGGTAGCTTTTAATGTATTGTATGAATTTACAGGTATATATGTTTTCACGATAAAGGTGTATAATATATCTATATACTTTGATAGGATTCGCGATGTTGTCACAGCGCATGGATTTGTTATTAATTACTAAACTTGTTTTTGTTGATTTATTATCACCATCCTATTTATGTATCCACTGCTGGTGCTCTGGCCTTTATCAATCAAATAAAGTATCAAATCAAATTGAATAGGGAGAAGGGGTCATGACCCTATAATACTCTAATGGTGGGATCAACAGTAGTTCGGGTTTGTTCAATAAAATCCTGGAATTAAGTCACTATTTCCGATTGTTGCAGCTTTGGAGTTGGTATCGTTTGAACGAGAACCCCCTGTCGATAACCTTGAGAAAGAACGCCTGAAACGTCTCCGGGGTGCGTCCTAAATAGGTCAATCTGCTCGTAATATACTCCCAATAATAATCATCATTTTCATTGTTCAAACCCATCTCAAATGAGGCTTCGTATTTTAATTGATCAATAGAGTCTTACGTTTATGTTTAAAGAAAATTCTCCCAGTATGTATCTTTACTTATTGTTAATTTGTATGTTAAAAAACTACACTAGTGTAGCTATATATATATATATATATATTTGCCATATAGGCATCATTTTTCCCACCGTAAACTTGAAGCGTTAGCTGCAAATTCTAATTTGGCTGGCGCGCTTAATTTTAAGTGGTCTGTGTGAGACACGGTCATCATTGACATGTTCAACATGTCTATTTTTTTTATATCAGAATAGGTATAAATTTTATCTTATTAACGGTGAGTCGCCTATTTTGCGTTTCTGCCCATGAATATGTAAGCTATTATCTCAATTGTATTCATAATAAACAACCATAAAAGTTTACTTTACTTTTATAATTAAACAATGAATATACTTATAACAATAATAAATTAACTTAAGTATTACCTAATCATGTAAGAGTAACGGTTAACAGGAGATTGGACCAATCTTTTGAGTTTTTACGTCACTCTTGTGTTAAGCAATTATTGGTGAACATTTAAAAAAATGCGAAAGGTAAATTTTTTTGGCGCACAAATATTTACGAATCTCACCCGAACAGCTCAAATCGACTCTGGTAGGATTTACAAATTTTTTATTATTATAGATGGATGTTGTAACTGTGGAATTTACTATATTGAATTTAAATATTTGATGAAGTGATGTTAAATGTATCACATTTTGATAAAGTCATTGTTAACCCAAGTTCCTTAAACCCATCAGTATTTGTGAAGGACTCTCTCGCCATTTTACGATGAATCTCATATTGTACTTAATTGTGTAAATTTAAAGTTATTTAGATGATTGATCTCATTTTAAAGTTGAATTTATATTTCAGTGTGGCTCCTTAATTTGTGTAAGTGTGTTTGCTACTAAATGTATGTATTTAATGGGTAAGTGTGAGTTTATGATTTGGTTACTGTAAAAGTATGCATTTAATGTTGTAAAGAGGTGTTCCTGACCTGTGTACTTACTTTAATATTAGGTCTTTAGGTACGAAGTGCCCGTTTTGTACCAAACAATTTATTATTTTATTTTTATCTTATTATTAATCGAACTCTCCATGCCAGTGTAATGATAATTTATCAAAGAAATCTGCTGGTCAGGTGGCATTTTATACTGCCTCTCTGATTCTAGATAAGTAAATTTTTTGTGAGAGAGGAAACTCTTCGATTTAAAATTCCGTAGGCTCTTTTGTATGAGTACGTCGCGTTATATTCAGTACTGGTATATTGAAATTGTTAATGCCAGCGTTCATTTTAAATGTGATGATATTAAAATACTGGCCAAAACTCATTTGAAAAATTTAAATCCATATATATTTTTCTAACTGCCTAAAATTTTTTGGTATTTAATTTTTATGTTATCCATCATAAATGAATTGTATTCCAAATGGTCAGATTTAAAATGGCATCTTCCTAATTAAAGACCTATTATAAAGTAGTTGTTATTTAAGTAATTAGAGATGTAAGTACAAATTTATTATTTACATTTTATTTAAAGGCAAAACAGTGTACCGTTTTTTGTACATTTTCGTTCCCAGTGCTGAAAAATAGTATAAAATCTTTGAAGTCGAATATTTTGTTAAATAATTATTTTGTAATATTTATTATTTTATTTATTATGTAATGTAATGTTGATATACGTTAGTTGGTTGATAGTAGTTGACTCTAGAGGCTATAAAAACGATTATGGTATGATTTTACACATTAAATTATTATTATTGAATAAATAAAGAATAATATTTATTATCCACTTATTGAAATGGTTGCGCTTTTAAATATTTCGAATAGGTAACATATTACTTTGTTATCTTAATATGGTATTAGTAAGTTTCCCGTCTTAATAAAAGTAATATTCAATAATAAATTATAGTAGCTAGTGAGCACTAAATCATAGGTGAGGATCAACAGTAGGTATTAAAACAGGTAATGAAATATGGATTGCGTTAAGTTAGTTTCCTAAATTATAACAATCTTATACTTTCGTGTAATCTTCGTACGTGTGTGTTCGTTATTATATCCAAATTCCAAGTACACTGAATGTTGAAATTAAAAAAAAAATGCTATTGTATTTATTGATTGCTTATTTTAAAAGCTAGACTGCCATAATGCGAGTTACCATCTCTTTATCAATGGCATTGTAACGAAATATTAAAACAGCTGCTTAATTACTTTGAAAAGATGGTAAACTAGTGAGGTGTATTTTTAGTAGGCACTATCAGATCCATGGTTGTAATTTATTATTTGTAGGTATAAAATGGATAAATTGTATTTTGCAAACCAAAATAATATAAGATTATTAAATGCTCGTTGAAAATACAATCTGCAACATGATTAAGTATTATTTCAGTTATTTCAAATACATTTCATATCGCATCATTTCTTTAAGTGGATGGTAGTACAGTGGCGGTCTGACCTTGTCGGGGCCCGGGCTTTATGCTAAAACTATGAAATTACGCATAAGAAAGATAAGCAGTACAACCACAATTTATTATTTGATCAATTGAACTTAAAGTTATTTGGAGCCTCTTTAGGACAAGTCACCCGGGGCGGACCGACCCCTACGCCCCCGCACCGACCCTTATTCTGCCACTGAGTCTGTAACAAAAGATGCTCCTTATTATATTTTACATTATGGACAAATTTTTAATTCAGGTAATGCAAGCACTCCATATTACTGATTTGTTTTTTTTTTCAGATTCATAAATATATTTTTAATTCTATTATTTTTAGATTTAGCAACTTTTGCCATAAATAGTTTTACATTTACTTATAACGTACGTATGGACGTACTTTAGCTGCGGCTTTAGATTTAGATCTAGATAAAAGTATTAATAACCCAGTTCACAATCTTTGGATTAGGTGTATGTTTTATTAACATATATTTTTTTTTATAATAAGAGATGATAAACAGCACTGATTTTCTGTTAAAGAATATTATACGAAATCAATTCCACCGGACATTAATTAATTTTGTTTCTTCTTTATTGTTATTTATTTTGTATTGTTGCATATATTTACTTAATTAAATACATTCCACGTCAACTTGCAAAACCAAGCGACATTTTTGTAAATAATTATATTTATTATAATAAAATGCTAAGTTACTTGAGTCACAAGCTTTGCATTTATAGTTGTTGGATATAAAGCGTAACCAAGCAGTCAAATTACGATTTCTGCTCGATCTTGACGAACCCGACAAGGTATTTTACAAAAATATACTTTCACTTAGCTTTACTTAGGGGATAAATATTGAAATACATGCTTTTAAAAAATAAGTAACAGTATCTATTTAAAATATTTTTAATATTCGTTTAAAGAATAAGTTTTAAAACAACGTAAGGGTATATCAAATAATTTATTAGTGTCAAATAATATTATATTTATCAAATTGGAAGTAAAGTATTAAATTATATTGCTAGTTTATAATTATATGGTAATGATTTTACCTGATTACATAATAACTTAAAACGAAGATGTCGTATTATGTATACAGAATGATGTGTTCTTTAAATTCCAATATATTGAAATGCTCCTAATGTAGTTCCTTATGTGTAATAATAATTGAATCGTGTTTTTATTTTATCTTTGCTTTACAAAACCTGTATTAAGGGTTTCTGTTATTATCGATTCCACTTCTAAAGACTGGACAAGACGTGCGGCACGTAAATTGAATCAAAATTTCCTTTTTTACATTGTGGCCATGATTACCTACTGCGTCTCACCCCCGCATCTCGAGTAAGACCCGAAAATGTGTAACCTTTGTATTTATAGTCGAGAGTAGTAATTGCTTATGATAATGTCATAACTAAAGCAGATATTTTACCAATTTTTAATAATCAAAAATTTTAATGGAGTAGTAGCTGTTAATAGTGGATAAAATATTATTATTAGCGATTAACAGTATTTACTTCATTCAAACTCTCGTCTATTGGTTAGTAATATTCTCTTAAGTTATAACATTTTCTTTCGACTACGTGTGTTACTGCGCTGTCGCCGTTTGGTTAGACTCACGTGCCGTGCATTAAACAAATGTATGTAGGTAAAAATTATTAGTTTTTTTAGCTTTAGCCATAAAGGCTACATAAGCATTAGTAGTCGATATAGTTATACCTATTTTTATTTCATAACATTTTTTTTTATCATTAAAATTAACTTAATTGATGTCTGTTAGAGCAAAATGAATGTAATCGTTATATTTATTTATTTAATTACAAAATTTCACACTGTTTTTTTCTCAACGAAATTTGTTTGTTCACGTACTACTGTTACCATAAATACGTTTCATCACGATTTTGAAAAGATTTATTCCTATGTAACTACGTTAAAAGATGATTCAATCTAGATTCGTGTATACTTGGCAGTATGCTTAAATTTAATTAAGATATTATGATAATGTGACTGTGACAATTTAACGCCTTCATTTGAAGTTTTACTTGGAATGAAAAATAACGGAATTTATATATAACGCTCTGTGTTAGTGGCTTTCTGTAAAGAAATCTAATTTTGAAGCTATTTTTGAAGTTCGTATTATTCGTACATATGAAAACTCGTGCTTACAAATTATAATATTTCGTTTATAGTATTGTCACTTTGTTGTAGTTCGTGATTCTAAAGAGAGTTATTTAATACCTGTATGTATCCAGTTATATGATGTACTTAAATTCATAGTTTTTAACATAATAATATTGTGTACCTACTATGGTAGTACAGTATCCAGTGAGGCGAAGTGTGGAGTTGTATGTTATATTCTAAAATGTATTCGTTTTGTTTAAGTACCTACCTTTTTGGATATTATAAAGTAATTCCAAAAAATGTCAACGACATTGTGAACATATTTATTTTTTTTATAAATATATAAAATGTATGTACTTTTAAATATGTGTAGGTACTTACCTAAATTATCAAAATCGTTTCGAATTAAAGCGTATCATGTCATTTATTTTATAGTTTTATTGAATCAATTACCCATTAGTAATAAGTATAGGGAGTCGGTAATATTTATTTTTACATTATCTACATGCTAATATATGTAAAGTGAGTGTTGTAGAAGTTTATAAGAACAAGATAATAAGCTAATTTAAGAAGCTAATAGGACAAAAGTAATGAAATATTGTCGAACTCCATGACCGAGTAACTCGCACGGCCGTTTCAAGGTGTCGTCATATGAGATCACCTGTTTGATACTTGGACGGATCAATATAGAAAAGAAACTTATTTCGTCTGAGCAATGTATGCGATGTTATCTGTAATTTTTATTATAAATTTGAATAAAAATGCTACCGGCACATTATTTCAAGTAACATTACGTTCTATAAATAAGGCGTTTAGTTTCGATATAGTTACAAGAAAGATCTACAATAGTAACCTTTGTGACTGGATGTACTATAACGGTTTTCAACAAAACTATTTAATTCTATAACATTAAAGAGAATTTAAGTTCCAGAATTTAGGTCTTTTTAGTATTTATTTTTAGTATTAGTACTTTATTACTGTAGTAGACATGACAAAAATAGTTATAGTATTATTTAGTACAATAGACTTCTAAATTTGTATTGCAAGAAAGCTCTAGTAACATCTCTATAGGATGATAATGTGATCTGTAGACGTCACTTCTATAGAGCTAAACGGCCCCGCAGAAATTCGATGTATTTGCTAAATCTTTTAACTGCTTTGATTATGAGTGTTACAAGGCTAAAGACTGAAACAAAAGTACTTTAATTAACTTACTAATTACACATATAGCTAGTCTTTTAGCACTGTATAGTTTTTACTGTGATCTGTCAAAAAATTAACTAATCAAATGCCATACTACTGAGAAAAATAAAGAAAAAGAAAATAAAAGTAATTTTCCGAAGTAAAAAGCAATCTTTGTTGATAAATACCTGCTAACGGTTCATTTTCTATGTGTAGCTTAGCTTAACCCGTATGTGTAATGTGTGTGTGTACGTTAGCTTTTTGTATTGGATCATACGGACCATTAACACCTATTCGCGAATAAGCAGTTTGTTTTTATTTTTTGATCAGTCATGTGTTGAGTTTTAAATAAAATCAACCACTACAAATAAATTTGTTTTAATAATCAACCACTGGTTCAAAATATTCATCTCAATTTATTAAGTTAGTTTTCACTCCTTAAAAACAAAAAGCGCAACTTGCTGTACGTTAATAGCAAGTTAGGTTTGAAATGGAGAGTGAGACGAGCTTAATTCCAAAATTTAAGACATTTCCAGACTGTTTTACAGAAATCGGAGGTAAGGCAATATTTTTACGTTCAATGACTTGACTAATAAATATTATTTATTATTTTTCTAGTTATTACTATACCTTAAAAAAATTACGTACATATTTTATTAAAATAAAAAATTAAGCATATAAGGGTTAAACTACGGCAGCTGCTGTTTTGTGTCATCATGTCATCGGTCAGAGCCAATGTATACTAAAATGAAAACACTTATACTCCATTCATTATAGCATTAGACAGAAGTGAAATAAGGTTCTTTTTATGGTATACTTTGTGACAAAATATCAATAATCATGTTACTTTTAAGACTGACGGCTAATTTGCTACATATTCACTTAAATATCAGCTGCTATACTTAACTGTTGTCATTTAAGCTAACTATTAAACAAATTTATGAGTATATGACTAACTTAAATGATTTAATAAGTATTACAATAAAAAGTGTCCATCGTAAAGAACCTAAAGAAGCAGGGTTGGATAGTTTCGGCACGATTCTCATGTCACTATAACTCTACCAAATTTAAAACGTTGCCTAACCCCTTCAAGCGTTTCGGTAGTACAGCTTTTTAATTTTGTCAGACTATTATTTATTCATAATTGTTAAAATCGTAATCTGGGATTGTCATCCATTGTGAATGCTACTGCCTTTCTTGTTGTTTAGCCGTTTTCCGTGATGTTATTGTTTTATTTTTGTTGTTAAGTTTTGGTAAATATGGACGATGCCGGTACAGGCCCGAGTGGCCTACAAAAATTACGCTCTAAGCCCCCATACCTACCCTCAAACTTTGACATTTCAGGGAGTTTTTCCAATGTCTTCATCAATAGTCTAACTTATTACACTTACAATTAGAATTTATCAAAACACACAGATAGTTTCAGTTTTAGTTCCATGTTGGCTTGGGACTAAAAGACGAATTTATAAAATGCTGGCCTCATCTCAACCCCGAGGTATTAAAAAATGGAAAATTGCCCAGCTCTTTCAGACTACCTAACGTTCAAAGTTTCAACAAAACTAATATAGATTTTTTAAATTTATCTTGAAAATAAAATGTTCTGCACTGCTGCTTCTATGACCCTCTTTTTTCTAATGTTATAGTGAATGGAGTATAAAATACTGTATTGTGCTTATGTTCGAAGTCATCTCGAGTATGCTTCTCAGATTTGGAACCCAGGATATGATATATATGTTTCTAGCTTGGAAAATATTCAGAGGAAATTTATGCGTTTTATTTGCGCCCGTTTTAACATTCCCGTGTCAACCTACAAACAGAGTTGCTCACGTTTGCATCTCCTGCCCTGTCATTGCGAAGATAAATCACTGATGTTTGTTTTCTACTTAGCATTACTCAAAGGAATATAGATAGTCCGGAATTCTTGAGCAAAATTCAGATCAAAATGCCGAACTTAAATCTATCTTCGTCAGAAAAATATTTTGCTTCGCACTCCTTTCGGTGTAACAGCATATTAATTAGAATTAGTAATTTGATCAACGAACTGAATACAAAGTTGAATGATGATAATCGATTCGACCTTTTCAATAGCACGACAGGACATATTAAGAACGTATTAAGTTCCTACATTGAAGGTACGATTCTGTGTTGAAATCATCGCTGAGCATGTCTCTAGAATATTGTGATCTCAGCGCATAGTTGTATCTGCATACCGGTTTCATTAATTTTACATAAATAATATTAATTTCAACAAATTTTCTGCATATATGCGGAAGCTTGTTATAAGCTTTTAAGTATTATAGATGTAATTATATTGTAAGTCTAACTACCGTTCAGTCTCTCGAGTCTCGTGTCTCTCTCACTACGTGATGTTGGCAGAACTTCTGTGTATAACAGAACAAGGCCATAACAAAAAAAGAAAGCGATTTATAAACTTATGTGGAAATATAATATTATTTAATTAATTTTAATTAGGATTTAATTATAAAGTCCTCGATCTAGTAGTAATCAACAGCGTTTCACGACCCTTTAATATTCAACTGTTGAGCTGATTTATTAATTTTACAACCCTTGTGTAATGCTTTTAGAATAAATCACTACCTTAAATAGGGTTTTCTAAGCGCTTACAAAATTTATATAATGCTTATCGTGAATTCTAATTAGCACGCGATATAACGTTCTTAACCCTTAAATGCAAGCTTCTATAGTACTGAATTTTGCGGCTTCGGTTATTTCATACAAATTCTTAAGTAATTACAATTGATAACAGTATCAGTGATTTCATCTTAGAATTTGTCTTACCATTATATTCTTGAATATGACTATCATACTTTTTTCGTTCTCTATATTTCTCTGTCTCTATTTTATTGTTTCGTGAGTGTATAAAAATCTTTTTCTATTAATTATATCCCAGTAAGTATGTCTTTTATTATATCGCGATATTTTGTGATTACTTCAATATTACTCCGGTATTTTATAAGAATAAACATATTTCTAGAAACGGTCATCTAGTTAAAAAGATATGTCTCACGAAAAAGAATTCGCATTTGATGAGCTGCTTTACTGGGTCAATATGGTTATAAAAAAAATATTGCATGTTATAATATCAAAATATGCTATTTACTAATATCAGAAATACATAACTTTTACCTTTGCAACTTAAAATTAACCTATGATTATAATATAATTAGCGATAACATTACATACTGACTTTATTAGAAGTAATTAATTAATCTTAGTATCTACATACATTCAAAGCGGAATACTTTTAGCTTTTGAACAATTAACAGTTCATAGGGCTACCGTCAGGATTTCTCGGGATTTTCGGCTTGCACACCTTCTTTTTGCCTTCAGCACTACTGACCATTGTGCATGTAAAAGTAAAGTATCCACATGATGAGGACTTGGTGTAATATGTGTGAGAATATTGTCTTCTGATATTATTGTCATTGTCCAAGTCTCGCGTGACTGACTTTGACACAGAAACATAGCGGTTATCATCGGCTTTCGAATTGTATAACGATCTTAAGTCTTTGCGGTTTATGCTCTGTCCATAATTGTTTGGATATACGTATTTAACTTTGCCATTACCAGGTGTGAGAGTTACTGTCTGAGCTTGTGAAGGCGAATACTTTGAACCGACGACGTATGTCTTTTCTTTAGAGGCCACCGATTTTACACTACCCGTAAAACCGACTGGTATAGTGTATCCGCCCATGCCCGGTACTTTTTCTCCTGGCTGGTAGGTCTTTCTCTCATCAGGATGTTCAGTATTCTTCTGAGTTACTCTAGCATCGTGGTTATTTAAAGAACCTAGAATTATATGTTGGGTGTTACCGCCTGCCGTTTGTTTTACCTCTAGTCCTCTTTTATTTGTACTTTGTAAGGATTGATGTGTATTTTCTGTATCTCTGTTCAATTCGTCATAATTTGCATATTCATTTTGATCTGGACCTGGTTCGGCAGCATCTCCTCCGAATCCATCATCTATGTCGTAGTCTTCTTGTTGGGTATCATCTTTATCAGTTGAGTACTCGTAATCTTGTCCGTTAATGCTGTAATTAGGTGTAAATGATCTTCGATTTCCTTCTGGTGGTGGTCGAGTTGTAGAATTTTGTTGCTCTGAAATTTTGTGATGTTCTGAATGACTATGATCAGACATATCTAAGTCTTCGTGAATGTCATTTTCAGTTGTTGTAATTCTTTCTTCGTGTTTTTCTGTCCAAGCCTCTGTTATTTCGTTTAATGGTTCTGTTGTGGTAGAGTCGATATTTATATTTGTATTGTTTTTATCATAAACATCAATTTTCTCGAAAGGAACTAAGTTAGGAAACACTGCATCTTTATCAAGACTAGATCCCGCTTGAGCTGCGCCATTATAAGTGATGCCATATTTAAATGACCCCCGAAGTTGTGATTGTGAAGTACCCATTCGTCCACTAGTTTGAGCGGAAGCAGAACCTCCTCCTTCGAATGGTGTTTTCTGTTTGTCATGTGCTTCTTTGTCTTCCTCTTTATAGGGAGTAAATCCTATTTGAGCTTGAGAAGATGTACTTCCAGGTCCTTTAGCTTGAGCGTCAGCCATTCCACCTTTGACACTGCCTTGAACTTGAGAATTAGAAGAATGCATATCCCCGCTGCTTTGTGAATCGGTTAAGATAGAACCTGTTTCGGAACCAAGTTGAACAGAAGCTTGAGATTTGTTTTTACGCCCTCTTCCTTCAGCATTACTACTTGCCCCTTTTTTGCTACCAGACACGTGACTTTGTGCTGCTTTGCTATCGTCACTTATTTCAGCATTAGCCGAAAAAGATCCGGTACCTGTATAGGTTCCTTCTACCTGAGTTTGGGCGCGACCCTTTTTGTTGCCACCCTTTGAAGCAGCCAGGGCAGTGGTTCCGTTTATAGATTGATCAACAGTAGCTTGAGCTTCAGAATCGTAATCATCAAATGAACTTGTCATTGAAGTCGGGTTAAGAACATTTTGTGGCATACCTGAAAAATAAATTTTATTTTTCAATGCATTATTTTATAGAATACGTGTTTACTTTTAATTTAGTGTATGAAAAAAGGTAAAATTAAATGAGGCATTTGGAAGCTTTAAGTAAATGGAAAGTTTGGTTTTAAGAGGTTTCAATAAACGACGGGTATTCCTGTCTAATTTTGTCCGTTTTTAAGTTACTTGCTTAGATCGTATTAATAATAATTTAGAAGAAAACTTACCGCCGCTTCCATTCATTAGATCAGTATTCTGAAACAGAGTAAAATATGTTTATGAATTTTCTATAAGTAATCTATAAGCGAAAATTTGTAGATTTGGATGTTTGTTACTTCTTTACAAAACTCGTAGAAAAAGATAATTTAAAAATAAATGGTGGCTAACAAATTCAATAAACTTGTATTGAATCCGAGAGAGGATTTGATGGTCGAGGTTTTTATTAACAGCTTTTAAGTACCTAATAATTATATTTTGACGTTTAACTTATTCCACACAGTCGAAGTTGCAGACAAAAGTTACTTTTTACTTTTTTAAATAGTTATAAACATTGAATGTCAATAGTTATTAACATAATGTCATTAGCTATTTTTCTACTGAGAAAAAATAATACTAATTGTTTGAACAAAAATGTTTTTACCTGTTGATTGTTCCCATATAAGCCACCATTACTTTCAACTTGTTGGTTACTCGGTCCAGGCTGATAAGTGTTTGGTGTGGTACCATAATTATTTGGATACATTAAGTTATTCTGGCCCGGTCCATATTGCCCATTCGGAAACTGTCCATAATTTTGAACATTCGGAAATTGTCCGAAATTTTGCCCAACTTTTGGAATTGGTAAAGGTATTTGTCCTGAAGCCCCAGGAACATACTGACTATTTGTAGGTTGTTGACCATTTGTAGGTTGTTGACCATTTGTAGGTTGTTGACCATTTGTAGGTTGGTAACCATTTGTAGGTTGGTAACTATTTATAGGTTGTTGCCCATTTGTGGGTTGTTGTCCAATTATAGGTTGCTGTCCATTTGTAAATTGCTGCCCAATTGTAGGTTGCTGCCCATCTGTCGATTGATGGCCAATTATAGGTTGCTGCCCATTTATATGTTGTTGCCCATTAGTAGGTGGTTGACCATTTAAGTTTGGTCCATTATATCCTGGTCCGTACGCATTAACTGAAGCTTGTTGGTTATTTGGCCTTAAATTATGGCCTCCAGGTCCTGAAACACCTGAATTTTGCACTCCATTTCCCATTGCGTCAGATATTTGTAAAGTATTTTGACCTGTTCCATATGGCCCGTTCGGGTAACTCAATGTGTTTTGTCCATGTCCTCCTGGTCTGTATAAGGAATTCTGACCTGTATTATGTGGACCACTTGGTGGTATTGAATTTTGCCCAACATTTCCTGTTTCATAGGGTAATGTTTGTCCTGTACCTCCCGGCATATACGATCTGTCATGACTTGGTACGTTTTGCCCTGTGCCAGTAGTTATGTACGGTATATTAGGGTATGGCATATTTGTTTGACCCATTGGCTTTTGTCCCACATCTATAGATCCGTACGTTTCTGGAGAAGATATTCCGTTTTGGCCAATATTTGGCACATTCTGGCCTGAAGTACCAGTGTTAAAAGGTATGTTAGACTTCATATTATTTGGATGTGAACCTGATCCATATGGGACATTTTGTCCTATATTTCCAGTTCCGTATGGAAGGTTTGTTGACTGCAGATTGTTCGGTATTCCATTTCTAGACAGATCGATTGGACCACCTGAATTTGGAAAATTAGCTTGGCTTCCTGGTTGCGATGTCCCTATAGAGTTTGGAGACTGTAAATTTGGGCTGTTATTTGTTTCTGAATTATATGGATTTAATCCAAAATTATTATTAGGATTTGGAAATTGATTCTGCCCATTGGAACTTGGAATACCAAAATATGTATTACTTTGACCTAGTCTATTTTGTGCATTACTTCCTGGATTTACAACACAACAAAAATAAGTAGACCCTGGGCCTACCCCAGACAATAAATTTGATAGTAATGGCCAATTTGCAGATCCAGGGCTTAAACCCGTATTTTGTCTTGGTTGGTTAATAAAATCGCCGGTGTTCGGTTGATTTATGCTAGTAACGCCTTGCTGTGGAAGAAACTCTCCTGGTGATTGCCCTCCAGTGAGTTGACCTGGCGTGTATGATCTTTGTCCGTATGGTACTTCGGACGGCTGCACTGGTCCGTATGAACCGCCCGTAGATTGACTCCCCGGTATCTGACTTGTTGTGTAATAACCTCCTGGGAATTGTCCTGATGTAGATGGTAGTCTAGATATTTGCCCTGGTGAATATAATCTCTGATCTAAACCGTTCGTTCCTCCTGGTAATGTCCCTTGAGCATATGATCCTCCGGGTAACCGACCTTGTGTGCTTGATGGACCTGATGTTAAAGGGGACTGGCCTTGATCAAGTGGTCCCCCTATATGTTGACCTGGAATGTTAGAACCATTTGGAAATTGCCCTGATCCATTTGTCCCGCCGGGTGGTACTTGTGTTGGAATGTATGAACCTTCTACCGTTTGACCTGGTTTAAATGAACCTACAGGTAGATGTCCTGGTATATACATGCCTCCGTGTAATTGACCAGGTCGGTGAGCCTCCCCTGATGATTGCTCCGGAATATATGGTCCTTCCCGTACCTGCCCTTGTCCGTATGATCCACCTGGTTGTTGACCTGGACCATGTATATTTACATGAGACTGACCCGGACTATATGCATTTCCTGGGGACTGACCCGGACTATATATATTTCCTGTACCTTTTCCATAACCTCCGGTATGTAGATCTGGCCCATTTGCATCTCCGGGGGATTGACTTGGTCTAAAAGAACCATCAGGTTGGCTGGGTGTAAATGAATTTCCAGAGGATTGCTCTGGCACAAAAGAATTGGTAGGAATTTTCCCTGGAGCATATGAAGTTCCCGTTGTTTGCCCTGGTTTTAAAGAAGTTGACCCTGGGCCAAATGAACTTCCAGACGATTGATCAGGTACGTAAGAACCACTAGCATATTGACCTGGCCCATATGAATTTCCTGTAGTTTGACCTGGTCCATATGAACTTCCTATAGATTGACCTGGCACATATGTACTTCCTGTAGATTGTCCTGGTCCATATGAACTTCCTGTAGATTGACCTGGCCCATATGAGCTTCCTGTAGATTGACCTGGCACATTTGACCTTCCCGGTGTATGGCTATTAGCACCTGAAGATAATTTCTGATCGGGTTTATAGGCCAAATTTGCAGCGTCTGTATTAGAACGATCCAGACAATCTTCACAGCTTGGATCATAAATTGTTTGACTCTGAGCTTGGCCCATACCACTGTTGCCACCTGAACATATGAAAAAAATCAAATTGAATTGTTTTTAAAAATCTTAGATAAGAAGAATACCATATACTTTTTAAGAATATCACGGCTTTTATATTCATACGAACTTTTGATTCATGCTTCATGAGTAAACAAAGTAAAGTAACTTATTTACAGTAGGTCACTACTTCCTTCAAATAGATATAAAATGTCAATACAAATCTGACTTCCATGCCCTGGGAGCGACCAACTATCTCTCTAGCCATGATTCTAATCATAGGATATGACACTTAGCGAATACCTCTATTATGACGATATTTCGTTTCCTTTTGCTACTTTGACATGTCTTTTAGTGTATATATTTGGGGTAAATAATTAACTTGGAAACACTGCTGGAAAATCAATATTTATCTTTCTTTGTCATTCTTTCTTCGTCAAAAGTACATGTTGAATTAGGAAAATGAAACGAAATAGCGCTCTAAGATTTGGCATAGCTAAGATTTCGTATCCTATGGCTAGAGTTATACCTAGAAACTATTCTAGCCAAGCCGGTTGGTCTACTGAAGTGAATCAATATACTTAAATTGTTTGTATTTATTAATTATGTTAAGATTTGCTTTAAGGTTACTTACTGACAATGGCTCTAGAAGAATCGGCGGCGGAATGTGCTTCTGCTTTGCCTTCATCTTTGCTATTACCTCTATCAATAGAGAGGTATTGTGATTGAGTTTGACCTCTGTATCGGCCGCGAGGATGATATCCAGTTTGCCTTCGTATTCTTTTAATATTTAATACAAATGAAGCAAAACCCTTTAATTTTGTTATTTTACAAAATACTTTTGTCGTTGTCGTATCATTAAACCATCTCACCTGTGAAACATAAACCAATGTTATAGTATCTAACCTAAATTAAAACAAATTATTTATAATACCAAGAATTGTGCAATTAAATGGGCCAAGGGAGTAATCTTAGCCTTGACGGAAGTTATCGTGTTTTTGTGACGAAGGGGATATGATAAAAAACGGGCACAGTGTCTAATTTATATACGATAATTTAACGTTTAATAAGTACGTTGATCTAACTGCTTCGAGATAATTTAAAATAACATTGATGAATATCAGTTTTCCTTAGGTTTTCAAAAAAATCAAAAGAGTAACTAATTGATGATCGAATTGAACCATATTCGAAAGCTCTGATAAATATCCGTTCTATATTGTTCTTATTTTTTTAAGCTAAGAAAAATATTTAAAAGCACAGTAGTGTATTTTTGTTTTCATATTTTTTTTTATTTATTTCGTTTCAGTTAAGCGTTTAACTAGCGAAATTACACACAATTAACTTTGTGTGTAATTTCGTTAGTTTGAATTATGCCATTGTATCTAAACACTATATGCCATTGTATCTATTCCAAAATATATGTTTTTGTATAAACATGTGCTACTACTATGAATAATAGTGAAACTCAATAAAACTACTATTAAACTGTGTTATCGCGTGTATTTTTGAAAGTTATTGGCATGCAAGGGTTTTTTAAATAACCATAAATTAAATGATGAAAGAAAATCATTATATCATTATTACCAATGTTTCCATATGATATTTTAATGTAGTGCATGTTTCTAATAAATATTATTTATTAGCTATGCTTTTAATTATTAAAAGACGACCAACACCTTAGTTTAAGTGAACAAAAGACCCGAAACGTCCCAAAATGAAATCATTTTTAAAAATACATATAGATACGATAAAAAGATTTAAAAGTAGTTTTATTTAATAAGTGGTGTATGTGAATTAGGTATTAAAACAAGTATGTAATAAAACTGCCGAGCAAACCTTTTCGGTTCGTCAAAATCAGTTGGCAATCTGCCATAAAAATTGTCTAAATTATTGATTTTATAGCAAGAGCTTTTGAGAACATAATTTAGGTTATATAACGAATTTATTAGCTATCTATGACTGATTTTCGAAATGTTCACCAGCCGCAGTTGGTACCATTGATTTATACGATAAAATTCCTATTTACGTACAAGAGATAACAGCAAGGATTTTCGAAATATTAACACATTTTGAGATACATTACACTTTGAATTCCATTGATCTATATGGATGATGAACGTCGGGTCGACGAATTTCTAATATCTTACATAATTATTAATAACTTAACTTAACTAACTCCTTATCAGTATTGTACCAATTCTAAACTCACACTGAAAGACTAATGTGCCCACATAAGTCATTTCAATCACTTATTTGCGATAACATGTATTCAAAATATGACTTAAAAGTAGGTAACTCATTCGTCTCGAGAATTAGTCTATTTTATTCATTTTAATAATAAAATAGACCAATTATCATATAATTTTATCGAGATAAAGATTACAAATATAACACAGATATTCTGAAATAGGTGTATATGCGTTTCCAAGACACGATAAGTATTCGAAAATGACGGTTAGATTGTTTGATGATTGCCTTTGATAATTTATATATTACTGTATATATCATTATATATATTATCTATCACCTGTATTTCTATCAGTATAATTTCTAGGCATCTCTAAATAAATCTCTTAGAATAATGGCATGGACTCAGCAAATGTCTTTAGTTTGTTCCCTCAGCACATGCATGACTCCTTAGTGCTTACTCATTCTATTATAGGATCAATGTAATAGTGGGAAAAAGAATCATATCGTATCCCGATCTTCTCGGTGTTCTTCTCATTTTTATATTTTCCTTATCCATTTCATGTTTTATCAATTATTTCAGCATGCTCGAACCGACCAAGTATTCTATTTTTAAATTGGCACTATCAACCGACTCCCTTTTTTGTCTCTAAATAACGGATGGATTTATGTCTATTTTTATTCAATTAAAGATAATGTAGCGGAAAGACACCACATTCACTTAGTTAACGGCTATATTTCTTTTGAGAAATATTTGAATTGAGTCATGTCGCAAAGCATATGCTATAAATAAGTTCGCTAAGCACTTAATTAGACAAAGGAAGTTCTGAACTCACCTCGTTAGTTGAGTTCGAGTTTAACATGAAAATAAAACCTGAACTTTCTGTAATTTAAGGTTGCCCAGCAATTCATAATAAATACTTGTAAACTTACCGTAATGACATTTCTGTATGGACGTACACGTCGTAAGTCGCTTATGCCACATTTCCTACCGTCAGTTTCATACAATTCTCCGGTCACATTTGGATTTTCTAAAGTTACAGGCTTCGCTAAACATACTAATGAATGCGGTTGCTTGCAAACTACAAATCGCTACAAAATAAAGGAAAATTAAGTACATACCGGTGAATGACAAAAAAAGTATTTTATAAGCTGATTATATCTTACGTTAATGATATGCGAAAGAACAGGATTTGGTTTTGAAAACAGAACAGCTGAGAACAAAAGTATAGCCGCGAGTGTAGGTATGCGCGGCGCGCGCTCACTCCGTTGAAGCATGACGCTAGGGTGGTGCGCGACGAAGCTCTGTCGCTCAGGCCCACTGGACGCATGACCCACGCCCGTAAACCGCCACCCCAGATGAACCCGAACAGATATAAGTTCAGCCACCCAATTTCGAAGATAGCCAACGAATTTGCTACACTAAGATTTTGCGATCTAGGAAGCGAATTGTTGTCACTCTTGATTGTTTATTTAGCGAGCTTGTAAAGCGTATGAAAAGTATTTTTTAAAAATGTTATTAGCGTTTTATCCGATTAGGGATTTTTATTCGATGTTCGTTTGGAATTGTAATATAGGAAGTCGATTCATACTCATTAAGAGGGCATCTGAATTTAGAATAAATAATAAAGTCTAAATAAGCTACCACTAACATAAAAATCTAGATCAAATGTTACGTTAAATTGTATAAATCGTGAGTTTACCTCTACATATGTCTCGTTAGATTATAAACTGACGATATAAAAAATTATATGGTGTCATATTCTAAACGTGATTGTCTAAAGTTTTGAGTTAACGATCGTTGCATAGAAAGTGATTCGTCCAAGTTTGTCCTAAAAAATTTACAAACGCGTCTAGTGTTGTGATATAGCTCAAAATATAGCTTATTTTCACAATTATGTTTTTGATTTATTTCCATATTAACGAGTAAAACTATAATAAGCTTTGATTTTAATGCATTAATTTTTAAAGTTCACAATTAGCTCGAGTTTTGACAAAATAACCTCAAAATATTATTTACAAATAACGAATCTCCCTGGCGTCTAAATAAAAAGATGCTAAGATATTATTATATTTTAAGCAAAAACTAATTTAAATGATCACTAATGCAAGATAAACGCGACCTTTAAAAAAACATGTGACAGGTCAATCAATGTATAGAAAGTGGACATGATTCTTTCATGTTTTGTCAATAATCACTGTCAATAACCCTATTCTGAATCTATCTATGTGGGTACTATCGGAATTATAATTAAGATCATATTTAGTTATTATGATTAAGTAGCTTACTTCTTGTCGTACCTGTTGTTCAGAAATTTTGTTTAGATTGCATATCTATTTGAATCTAAAATAGAAAATTGAATCAATATTTCATAATTTTTCTATTTTTCAGATCAGTTGACAAAAGAATAATTATTTTTCTTCCATGTCATTATTATTTTCTAATAATTGCGTAAAAGTCATAATATTATATATTTTATGTTATATCTACTTATAATATGTAGGATGTCCGAATTTTTGCTTTCAAATTAATTAACTATTCCGTTGGAGGAAAATTATTTTCGCATGTTCTATGCATAAACTTGCAATAAAATCTTTCTGGTTATACCATTTGTATCTGGCTGGTTTCGGTATTATTAAAAAGTTAACTCTTTAAAATTTCATGTATGATTTTCATTCTTTCATTGTCACGAGGTCACTGAAAGAAGCCTAACGTGTACTCATTTATAATTCTTTATTACGGCGTAATGAAACCGAACCATTTTTTAAAGAAGCTGGATCACGTGTGAAAAAGGTCGTGGTGAAAGGTTGGTCAGGCTTCACAGACTGTGACAAAACCCGGGTTAACTTGCAACTAGTTGATGCTGTGTGTATGATGGGATTAGGAAAGCATTATTAATTATGAGATGGTACCGCCAGGCAGGACCATCGATTTTGAACTCTACTGCGAACAGTTCATGAGATGAGAAGAACAATTGATGAGCAAGAAGTTGAGAGAAAGAGGCCAGCTTTAATCAATAGAAGGGCTGTGGCTTTTCATTATGATAACGCTAGACCTCACACATCTTTTGATATTCAGCAAAAATTAAGAGTGTTTGGCTGGGAGATGTTAATGCATCCGCTGTATAGTCCTGACCTTACACATTCAGATTTCCACCTGTTTCGGTCTCTTCAGAATTCTCTAGGCAGTGTCAGGTCAACATCAGGCGAGGACTTCCAAAATCACTTGTCGCGGTTATTTGATCAGACGTGCCGAAATTTCTATTACAATGGTATCATGACCCTGCTTACAAGATGGTAAAAAATTATCAAACAAAATGGTTCATATAAAAGGCAAAGACACTTTTTCCGGACCTATTAGAAACAAAAAGAAACAATAAAAACAAACTACTAAAAATTTATTTATATTAAAACTATTAACCAACAGTATAAAGCTGATAAAGGTGCCTAATATTAAAATTACATTTATTTGAGTAAAAATGCTATTTGCCAATTTTAGGCCTAATATTGAGCGTTGATTACACATTGTCTACATGATTTGATTATAATCTTGTTATTTCTGAGCTGATATTAGGATCTTTCTTTTTATACGAATGAGTGGGGTATATGAAGTGTTGTGAGTAGTAACCAGATGAATGTGATTCGCCTGGGCTTTTATTAGAGTTGACCCGACGATAGTATTCCACAGATTCACCACAGTCACACGCTAGCCTACTTTCAGAGCCACTGCTCTCCAATTGATATTTAGGCACTACAATTAGGCTCTCAGTAGATTTCGTTGGAGCGCAGTGACTGTGACTCCTAGTATACACCGAATAATGGTGTTGACTGACACTTTGTCGATGAGAGTGCTTCTCTTGGTGATGTTGTTGATACTCGTGATGACTTTGAGTACTACGCCCACTGTGACTTCTACCATGGCTCTTCGAACGATTCGTGTGTTTAGCACTAGTGTCCAAATATCCGTAACCAAAGCCGTAGCCACCGAAAGCTTTTGTTGTCAGATTATCCCATGATTTCGGCTTTACGTGTGAGTGAGAGCTCTGGTATTGGATTTTCGGTGAAGACTTCGCTTCAGATCTATCGTTGTCCCAAAATAGAGTGTCACTACTCAATGACGTACTGTAGCTAGAAGCTGAATTATCGCAGGGAGCTGTTGCATTACTTGTCGCATAAGATTGTAAACTGCATTGACTTGTTTGAGTAGATTCTGTTGTCAAATATCGATAACGGCTTGAGCAATGTCCCGAAGAACAAATTTTCTTCGAACGTGAATGTGAGCATCCATCTGGTTTTTGCGTCGATTTGTCTACTTGTTGACATTTGTCTTTTCTTTTATGTTCTTTCGAACATTCTTTCTTACGTCTCAATTTCTTTCTTGAGTTAGGTACACAATGAGGGTCGCAACATGGACTAGCTAGATCATATGCCTCAAGACTGTTTGCATCTTGGTTATTATAATTTGGCATGCAAGGAGCACAGCTGTGGCTATGATTACTTCTGTGAATCTTCGTATGTTTGCCATTCGCTGCTTTGTATTTTTCTGAGGCCCGATTACATTCGCTTGGCGTTTTAACTACATAATGATGGCACTCGCGTTTATTTCTAGGAGATCCTACAGTGATAACAAAGCTACCTGTTCTGATGCTTGGCTGAATAACACACGCTCCGTATCTGGGGTCTAAATATTGATACATGAATACATTACTTTGCGGGGGTTTTGCGGCAGTAACATTTTCACTTGAAAGAGTAGGTCTACAGTACGAAGTGTTTATATTATCAGTAATATTATTTTCATCAGAATCAGATATCGCATCAGCTGGTGAATTTTTCTTCTTCTGCGAGGGCAAGCTGTGAGTTTTCCAATTCGAATCAAAGAGTTGCCTTTCACGTACGGTAAGTTGTTCTAGTTCTCTCATTTTGGATTGTATTGCTCGTTGTAGATTAATATACTTAAGATGGAGTTCGACCTTTCGCACACAGTCCTCGAAAATAACAACCATGCGCATGCGGGCGTCGCAGTTGTTGATGGCTTCGACAATAGCAGCGTGGTCGGCTCGCTCGACGTCCACTCCATTAATGGAGAGAATAACATCTCCCTCTCTCATACCAGCCGCCGCCGCTGGACCTTCAGCTTCCACGTGATCCACATAAGTGATCACTTCGATCTCTTGTTCCTGTTCATTGAAAAAAAAGTTATTTCAGTAAATCCCAGATGAGATAATCTGCAATACTATATTTTTACAAAAGCAGCCTTGATCTCGAGCTCGAGCATAGTTCTGTCATATCATATCATCCAATCAAATAAAAGCTACTTCAAAAAGTTTTATTTTATTGAAGCTCGCTGTTTCAGCTGTGCTTAATTTCGAATTCGAACAAGTTTTTTAATATGAATAATATTAAAATAATAGCATAGTTGACAGTATTAATAAATCATGAGAATATCAAATTATTTTTATACAAATAGTCTGGCGTTGTCATTTTATGAAATAATATTAATATGTAATTCGATCTGGAGAATTGAATTGAAATTTGTGGTGTATCTAGTTAAAGACTCGCGTAGCAGATAGTATTGTGCTAGAATAAAATAATTTTATTTCAAACAGTGTTCATAATCAAATATATTTACGCTCCAATTCCCTCAATAATGAAAACGTAAGGATTTTTAAAAAGTTTATATTTCCTATTTGTTCGCTAAGCTTAACTTAATTAAGAATCTATGATCTCTACTATGAATTTAAGACCACATTTTTACCTTTTTGTAGTGGATTCCGTAACTTTGCAAGGTGAAACCGTATGTGCCATTTTTTTTCTCCACGATGATTGTACGTCTTCTCCAATCTTCTTCACTTTTACCTCCAGATCTTTCAGACTTCCCCGACTCCCTTATCTGAAACAGGAACGAAACATTAATATCAGGATATATTAAATATCTGTAACATTTGTGAGATATATTTACTTACTGAGTTGTCTAATGAATCCTCTTTGGATTCGTTGTTCAGCAGTTTCTTTCCAGTGCTCAAACTACTTGGACATCTTTCGTTCAATTTAGGGGAGCTCATGTCACTTAGCCCGTTGATGGGCCCCTCGTCGTCGTGCTACCGTAACTTTGAAGACATGCCCAATTTTTCCTATTATTTCTATGTAAAACTAGTGAGTATTGCTTTGGTCATTCTTTTGTTATTTCTACTAACCTGTACAATTTGGGCGCGACAAATCATTACTGTTTGGCGCATGCGCGTGTAGGACGCATGCGTACGATCTGTCTGCATAGGAAAAATACCAAGACATCTGTAATTTAATCGATTTTACCATACTATCTTCTTGGAGTTGTGTGTATAGATTATTCATTAAAATTAATGGTTCAATGATCTCTGGCCAGTAGGTAGTTTAAAAAAGAGACAGCAATAATATGCATGCTTCCTGTTAAATTAGACAACCTTGATAATAGGTAATAGATACATTTTGACATGATTTTGGTGATTAAATTTCGTTTTCACTAAACTTAGGAGTCGCCCAATTCTGACCACAAAATATTTAAGAATTGTCTAAGGTGAAAATGCGTTTCACCAATGGTAAGAAACCTTCAATTTAAATAAAATTACGGGAGGTTACTACGAGTTATCCCCATAATTTAATTAATCGTTTATTGCTACTGGAATCGGTAGTCAAATAACGGATAAGTAGTAGCTGGATGATCGAGTTTAGCTCGGTGTTTTTAGGTTCCGTGCTTCGAAAGGAAAAAACGGAACCTAACCTCTTTATTGTCATTTCGTCCGCTCTCTCTCAAGATGCTTTTTATCAGGAACGAGTGGAGGTACCAAGCTGAAAGGATTGCCTTTTTCTGTACCATATTGCGTCACACTTATATACTTGCTTTTTTCCCTATATAATATATACTTATCCTTTTGGAGGTATATTGATGGAGGTATATTGATCGATTTATTTGCTACATTTGAGTCTTATTGTTATTATAACGAATAAAACTATTGACAGATAGTTACTTTTGAAATGTGGCGCAGCGAGATAGAGATAGAGAAAACGCCTGAAGGCATTTATGGTGGCTACTTATTTGTTAAAAAGAAATAGAAAATATCAGTGGAGTGTTATCACGTAAGTGTAATAATCTATATCGTGCAAATTCACTTCTTAAGTGCGGCCTTAATCGTATTCTATTTATATAATACATTTATTTAAAAATCGCAGTAATTAAATATTAGATCTTTACCTACGAAATTGCCGTTTTTCATGGCAAAAAAATACGCTTAATAAATTAGCGTATTTTTCTCTGTAAATACGCATATGCTTGAAACGGTTGAATAGAAACTCCATTAGGTTCTTAAGCTTAGTTCTCAAAATTTTTAAATGTAACGAATTTCTTCATTAGATTCACTCATTTCAATAATTCAATAATTTGAATTCGGAGTTATATTCTTTACAATTTAAACTTTTTAAAACCAGCCAGATACAAATGGTATAGCCAGAATTTTTTTATTACAAATGTATGCATACCATATGCGAAAAGACTTTTTCCTCATCTAGTAATAATAATAAAATATTTTTAAGATATTGGCCAGTTTTTATGGTAAATGAAACTTAACTAGAATGATTCAGATTATGTACGAGTAGTATGTATTTAAGAAAGGGCAAGTAGATTAATATTCTTTATGAAATGTATTAAATAGTTAATTTAAGGTGATTCCTATACAAAAAAATATATCTAGGTAACACTAGAAATAAATATTTATCAATAAATAAAACCGGCTTCAAAAAAGAAAAAATATTACTAATCTAAAAGCTATTTATATATTTAAGGAACTTCTATTAAACTTGGGCGGAGGGTTTTATTTCAATTATTAAAAAAAAAATCTCAGTGAATCATCAATTTTCACTTTTAAAATATATAAATACAATGAGTTTTAGATACATAAATATGGCTTTTATTGGATAGTAGTGATTTTTAAAGATGGTCTTGAATTTTTTTCTATCAAGTATAAGTATTTATGTTTTGACTGTGCGAGACAAAAGCCTTAAAAACATGATGTAGTTGCACCCATTTGTGGTATCGTTTTAAATTACAGCTTATTAAGACATTATTTCTTTTTTTATTTATCAAAGCAGTTGAAAGTTAGTATTTTTGGTGTATGCGCTCTCTTAAGAGCTCGCATATCGTTTTCATAAAAAGAGTAGAGTCCCGATATAATAGTAATAGTAGCATATTGTCTATAATAAATCTAAGGATGTGATAGTAAATATCACATCCTTAGATTTATTACACCAGTTATTTAATTTATATTTAATATTTTTTTTTATATTAAATGACATGTTAAATAAACAATTATAAAGAAAATTATTTATTGTAATTTATTTCACTTTTATTTATTTAAACAATACTTTCTTGATTACAGAAAATTCACCAATATTGATAAGCAATACGTCAAACTGCTTAGATGACCTGAATAAAATTATAAGCTTGTACCTACACATATAATTGAAATGAGATAAGTTAATATCTAAACGCAATAAGACCTTTGATAGTCGCGTGTGCTACATATGATGCAGCAAACCGTATACTTTAAGACATTCGTATAAGGTCTACATTTGTACAGTCACTGATATTTTTATTTAAAACGATTTCTTTATAAATTAGATTGGTCTTCTAATACTGAGATGTACAATTTTTAACTAATACTAACATATTTTTTAACAAATACAAAAATTGCCTTTTTGCAGAAATTAAATTTTTGTTGAGTGTATAAAATAAAAGCTAAATATGGATTATGGATAATTATGGACTCAGTGGCTTAAAAGTCAGCCGAGCGAGACAACAAGTAAACAGGCTATTCGTCCTTTCTAAATAAGGCGACAATAACATTCTAATTAAGTGACACTATTCATATGTTTCGGTATTATCGTACACAATAATCTTGTTAAACATTTTGTTACAATAAATATATTTTTAATGTTTTATTTTAGATGCTTATAGTCTTTTCGTGCAAATCGATATCGATGATATAAATGTGCGATATCGCACGAGGAGAATCGCATGTGTTTGTTTACTCATGAGGTTGCACAATCTGTTAATATCTGTCACAAATCTCCTCTACATCGAATTGCATGTAAGTACTCATAGTCTGCGATATCGCTTCAATTGTATGAGGGATCGACTGGCTCGATCTATTTTTGCGCAATCTCACATGAATACTAATGTTACCAAATCATCAAAATATATTCAATTTGACAAAAGATATGGCAATATCCCCGCTATATACATATATATGAAAAGCTTGATAGTGTAGCGGTAAGCGTGTTTGATCTGCAATTTTTAAGGTTAAGGAGGTTAAGCGACGATTGCAAAGACCGGTAATAGGATGGGTGCTCAAATTTTTTTTTCCGAACAATTTAGGACGACCACTTTGTCCCAGTACGAACTAATGGGCAGCTAAGATAGATTTCATCCATTAAGAATACCTGTACTTTAGCACTACCATTCTGCATTGGGACCTCCACATGGGCCCAGTTAGGAAAGCTGGGTGGATTGGTTTCAACCATTAAGAATATCTGTAACTATAATGAAGAATGCCGGGTGGTTAGTGCTCTTGGTCGTCGAATTAAACGGGGGACCAAATTTCTATAATTAAGCACAAGAAAAGAAAATAGAGCAAAAACCCGCCACACCCTGCTCCACGCCGCCTCATCTTGCAACGCCTATTCACCACGTTCAACCTATTAGAAAAAAAATCATCATTCACCTCGTTACTGGCTTTTGCGAACGTAATCTTGGCAATCGCAGATCAAACGCACTATCCAATGATCACATAGGAGAAGGCAAGAGAATAAAAACCCCCCCACATCCCGCTAAGTCAAATTAAAAAAAAATATCACCCATCCCAATACTAACTATTAACCAATAGTAAACTAATCTATTTATTTAACTATTCTATGCATTTTTATACGTATAATAATTATTTTATTTCTCTAGACTTACGTATAGTACCTACTTATATAAAAACTAACTTGATAGCCCAGGCCCACACCCCCTCGACAGTGGTCCAGGGTGCCATGGGAAGATAGAAAATAGTTCTACCCTAATGAGTAACTAAAAGGTTCAGAACCGTGGCTGTAGTATTATGATGACGGATTACTATTTTATAGAAAGAAACAACACTTTAGTTTTATCTATCTATAAATAATTGTTTTATTCATCCGTAATGCAACGTATCACACCTCTAAGCTTTCCGTTAAATAAAGTGTTATGTGTTCATACATCACATATTCGATTTGAATTTCCATAAAACAACGTTTCATGCTATGAATAAATTTTTAAAATTCAAATTTTTGTGAAACTGGATATTATGTATTTTAACAGCTCATTTAACTGAATATCTGTGAAGTTTCATTATCTAAAACTTAATAATGTCCGTTTTATCAGACTTGCGGTCAGTATCACAAAAGTCTACGCCTTTAAGCTTTAACGAATGTAATGTCACTTTAATCTAATAAAGGTTTTAATGGTTGTTTGTGCGACTGGCTCACAACGACAATATTTAATTGGCTCTACAAAAAACATGATTTTTCATATAGAACTTTATTTTTGATTGTTCCATTTATTTATTAAGGTTTACGAATAATGGTGTTAATTTTAGCGTAACTTACTACAGACGAATTGGGTATCGGTACGGGAATGTCAGATAGATTGCTATTGAATTTCAACAGTGGAGGAATGCCGATAGATTGTAGTCCTGCGGCCTGGGGCACCACTACTGTACCTTTCTCTACTTTAACAGTATTGTTGATATAAGATTCCCTTTTAAATAAATTTCTGTAATGTGATACAGCTTCAGGTGATAGATTTTCATTTGATTTTTTTCCATTGTCCAAAGCTGTTGGTATCTCTTCGTAATGAGTAGCTTCAGTGTGGCTACGACCCACTCTCAATTGCTCTTCTTGATCTGTAAAGTCAAAATGGAAATAGTCTATATTATTACACATAATAAAATTATTGATAACGTTATAATATATTTATCTACGAGTATATCTATCTTTACGCCAGATCCCTTCCACAAGTATTATACATTGCATAAATCTTCCGCTGGCTCGAAATTCTTAAATTCGATCTTTATAATTTTGTTATTTTTGAAAAATAATTTCTATTATTTTCTTGGACGATATGTATGTCCTATTGAACCCTAAACATATATTTTACCACATCTCGAAAGTTACATTGGAAGTTATTTTAAATAATACATAAGGGAATTACAATCATCGATGACTTTCCATATCACATACAAGTTTAGCTCATCATCATCATAAGTAGCCCCGTTACCTCTCCACTGCAGGGCTTCATGCTTTCCTTATGGATGGTTAAGAAGGATGGGTCATAACCCTGCAACGCCTATTCACCACGTTGCTGCTCGCAGGCCCAATGCGAATTGGAGGGTATAAACGAATGCAAATGCAGCCGGGACCAACAGCTTAACGTGCCTTCCGAAACAAGAAGTACCTTGAGATAAAAAATTTTGGTCTCCTATCCCGTGACCGGTCTTTGCGAAAGTTGCTTTAGAACAACGATCGCGGCCCGTGGCGCTTATCTTCTACGTCACCGAGCTACTTTAGTTTAGTTCAAATTGCCGAAATTCGCTCATCATCAACCTTTTAAAAATGTTTAAGTCCAAGGATATTCATTAGTATTTGTAGTTGTTGCTTCCTCATATTCGCACTCTAATCAGAAGTGTTGGACGATTTCAACTATTCTCAGTTTGGTTAATTGTCTTTTCTTTTCATTTAAAACCAAAGCTACTATGAGACGGATAGTGCCCAGATCTAATTACAAGATAACAGCGGTTTTATAGGTACTGTAATAAAATCGTTGAACTCGATGTCGAGCACGGCGCTGTCGAAGCATAGTGCTTCAATCATATCACCCATTTCAAAGGCTAATAAAGGTTTCATTAAAGTCGAGGAAGTCTTACATGAATAATGAAACGCTTGAAAGGTGATGATTTTGAAACAGTATAATAGCAATGAGGAAAGTGGTAATTTTTTTTTTGCAATTATAGATGTGATGGATGACTTCAGTAGCAGAGTAGTTCGTCCGCCCCGTTTTTAAGAATCGCCATGTCCGTGGTCTCACGTTTTATTCCCGGTAGATCAACGTAGAAAATGAACTTCCCTATAAGTATTATCTCGAATCTCGAGTGTGGCACCTTTATTGTCTCAGATACTCCATAATATTTTTTTATAAATTATGCAACTTACCTGACGAAGTCACAGAATCCCGTTCGGGTAAAAATGCATCTTTTTTTAAATCTTTCCATGAAATTACAGATTTTCCAATGCTTGATCTCGAATAATTTTGTTTCGGGACTACTTGAACTATGCTTTCTGCTGTCACATTGGTCAATAACGGGGCAGGGATGGCACCTAAGTCTATTTTAGAACCTTTAGTCCGATAAAAGGTTAGAGCTTCTTGATTTCCCCTAGGAAAACAAACATATTTAACTTTAGGAGGGCAGAGGTATACCTATTAGGATTATTAATATAATATATCCAGTCTATAAAGATCCAAAAGATAATAAAAATCTACACTACTCTTGTTTAAGTTTTTTGATAAAACTAATGTTAATTATTTATTTCGTATTTCGTACGAAAAAGATTATAGTAAAATTAATATCGTGCGTTACTGTTTAAGTATTTAAGTAAAAGAATTAGGAGAGACAAAAAACAATAATCTTTAAAAACATCAATATCAATGAATTCGATTTAAATCCACTTGTATGAATTAATATATTTTACGAGTACATTCACAATGCTATACTGGAAAAAATCCTGGGGCTGGTGGATATTCTAAGCGTTTCTTATTAAGAATATTTTCCACTTGTATGAAGTTAGATTAGTTCCGGGGTGGATCACTTGTCTCATGTTATTAAACAATATTACTTTACAAAATTCTTAACTACATAAATTTGACAAAGAAAACTGTTTATTACAATATATAACCACTACTCACATTGTAAAATTTCGATGTTTGTCATCAGTTTTATTTGTGATGATGCCAACTTGGTAGACCAATGCGTTAATTACGTACCTTTAGACATGATAAATTATTTTAAAAAAAAGTAATTTGAATTTAATACAACTTATTAAGGCCGGCTTACCTAATAGACGAGCACAAATTCTCAGTACTTTGATGAGTTTGATTTATCATTATTTTATTTAAAAAAAAAGTATTTTATCGGAAATTATACATGTTAACATTTTAATTCAAATCTAAGGTTAAGATTATTTTGTACAGATTTTTTGGGATACTTATTAATATTTAATTTTTCTCACTCATAGAGAAACAACGTATAAAGTCAGCCTTCTTTTAGACGCAATTTCTAATAATTTTCTGTTTTTTTTTAATTATTGATTTACTTACATGTCTTTGTTAGGATCCGTTGAATTAATTATCGTATTTTCACCTGGTATATTACACTGTATAACCCCAAACAAAAGCGGCAACCATGCTACCATTATCTATTCGGCAAATTAAAATAATTAATAATACACTCTATTGCTTTCAAATAACACTTGATCAAAAACGGATAGAGTATGTACATTGGTGCGGAGTTCTATGGCGTAATACATGGTTGGTGATAGTGTTTGGTTCTAGGATATGTGATCTTTTTACTGTATCGAGTTGCTCCGTGCTTTGAAAGGCACATTAAACCGTTAGCTACGGCTGCATCTGCAGTTATAAACATTCTGTATAATTATGTAATCCGTTATGCAGGTCAATTCTGCTAATTATCTTGTAGGAATCTCGTGGTCGATCTCCAAATTCGATTCCACCCATAGAAAAGGCCTGTGCTCCAATAGTGGGATTGTTAATAGGTTGTTGATTATGTACAGAGTAAATATCAGTTATTATAGTTTTTATAAAAATCAAAGTTGCTTACCGTTTTGTTCATATTTACTTTAGCTGTACTTCACAAACAATAGATTAAGAAGATACAGTTCAGGTTTTAAATAGTTATCTTCAACAATAATTAGCAACGTAACAACATGTTGTGAATACTTCTCGGTATATGAAGGTATTAACTATAATAATTGTGAGGTGCTTAGTAGATGCTCTATGAATTTGTATACATAAACAGAAAAACAAAGTGATTTCAAAATAAAAAAATATCATGTAAATTCATATTGATTTATTATAATTTTTCATGCGCACTATTCATTAAATTAAACATATTTAATTGATTTCATTCATTTACTTTCATGACGTTTCGGACCCTTTACAGGTTCCATGTTCACTTTTTTTTATTTTTTTTATGGGATAGGGGGCAGACGAGCAGACGGATCATCTGATTACCGTCGCCCATGGACACCTGCAACACCAGAGGGGCTACAAGCGCGCTGCCGGCCTTGTAGGGAAGGGTTGGGCCTCCGGTACCCTCACTCACACGACGAAACACAACGCAAGCGTTGCTTCACGTCGGTTTTCTGTGAGGCCGTGGTATCACTCCGGTCGAGCCGGCCTATTCATGCCAAAGCGTGGCTCTCCCACTTAAGACAAAAGTGTCGATTGTCTTTTAAGGACTCCTTATATTTGAACTAGAAAGTTGTAATTTGGTATGAGTATACACGTTTATTACACCGGAAAAGGAAAAATGAATTCTGAAAAAAAAAATGTGTACCTCTCCTGCATGTAAGCTGATGTGAGGATGATAATTTGTGTTTTCCTCCTTTATAGGTCTTTCCAAAATATTTGGGTGTGTGGGAAGACCGCTTTTTGATTTAGTAAACCATTTGTGACTTACTAAGCTTTAAAGAGCTAATTTTCGCTTGAATCGAGTGTCAACCCCTTTACCAACTAAACAGTGGTTGGTAAAATTACAAACGTTACGGCAGTAGTATCCAGGATAAATCAATAGAAAACAACTAGCGTGTTTTTTTTTTACTTCTTTTATGGATAATGGTACGGTAACTTTTGTGCACGAGTCCGACTCACACTTAGCCGGTTTTTTAATTAAGTATATCGTAGCTACCTTCAAAACAATACTATTGAATTTCACAACAGAATACAAAAAAAAATGGAAACCTTTAAATTTATTAAATTCACTAAGAATAAATATATTCCGTAATAATGATAATGTAAAAATTATATTTATGGGAAAGAATCAGAAAGTTTTAGATTACATACACATCATAGGGTAAGTTTGAAAATAACTAAACATGGTACTATAGCGTTTTTGACCTATCATTCTTGATATAATGGAGTGCCTTAAAATCTTAACCTCCGCAACGCAGGCAGCACGCATTAACCGGCCATTAGACGATCAATCTGGATCGTGGTCAGATCAAACTTGCGGATTGATGACAATAATCAAATTATCTAGATAACATGTGATCCATTTCAATCTGGCATCAATCAACATGTTATTCGATCAATCGCATCAAGCTTATGGCTTGATATGACGCTAAATTGATCGTCTAAATGAGCTAAAGAGCGCATTAGTTACGTTTCTTAAAATTTTACTCAATCGATCTTGAAACTTATTAAAATAAAGAACTAAGCACCAGGTTAAAACATTATCTGAACAAAATAAGTTAACACGTCTCAATTTGACGTTTTCTTTTCGGTCAATGTCAATTTCCTTTAAGAAAACATGTACTAACTTTAGTTCCCATCTTTCCTTTTGAAGCACGGAACCTTAAGAAAACTATTTCCTCATAACTGTATAAAATAAGTCGTAATTAGATATATTTAATTTATGTAATAAGAACAAAATATACATGGATGTGTACCAAAAGATGGTTAACTTATTATCTAATTCTGAGTGAATTCACTTTCACCACAGATAACGTGATCTATAAAGAAAATTGAGATGTATATACCTACGTATTTTTATCAAAAATTACCACACATTTTTATCAATCGTTTGGATTGCGATTCGAGTGGCCGTCGGGTGTGGCGAAGACGCCTCGTTTATCTCAGATGGCAGTCTGATGCTGAGGTATCAACCGCGCAGTACGTACCACCAGTGATACTGCATTCTCTAAATGGATTGACTCACTGCACTACCCTCATTGCTACCATCGATCCCATTGTGTACTATCTGATTGAACCATGGCTGCCAACAAGATTTTAATAACCGCCGGAGTGATTACTTTAGTAAGTACCATTTTTAATATTATTTTAAACTTGTATTGTGATATAAATATTGTTGTGTATATATTAAATGGATTATTACTAGCCAAATATGTTGATAAATATATGTTCATGTATTATATAGGTACATAAATCAAATTATCATCTGTCTTTGTTTCAAATTGCTTTGCTTGCGGTTCCGAAATTAAGTCAGAGAAAGTTATTTTTTTAATGTGCCTATTAAACCTATTTAAGCACTCAACAGTAGCAGTAAAAGTAACAAGTGGACATTTAAATGTTTAATATGAATTAATTATTTTATTCAAACGATGTGCTTTGATGCGTGTTCAACGTGTATGGATGTTTCAATTCCTTCTGCAATTGTCTGTGCTTTTATCGCAAAGCGAATGTCTTTAATTTAATTAATATTTTTGTAACCTTAAACATTCATTTGTTGTTTTGAAACTATATCACAAATTGAAGTCTTTCAGGTGCCATTGTCTGTTACTACAGTGGTCTAATAAATAAATTTATATAAACATTCCAATAGAACAGAAAAGAGCAAAAAATTTCAGTGTCGATGTTATTTATTTTCCAATTTGAGTTATCCTTCTCCCTATTCTGAACTGAATTGGTATAGTTTCACTTAGCCAAGGGTAGCCTGGCAAAAATTGTTACCCTAGTAATAAGGCCGCCTATTACATCAATATTACTTGTTATATCAATGTTTGCTGTGTGCAATAAAATATATTCATTTATTATTCGATTCATAATAAAGGCCTGTGCTCCAACAGTGGGGTCTTTATGTAAAAGAATCAGTAGTTTGCTAGATTCTGATATATTTAATACCTCTATGGTCATTATTTACTTTTTCATTGTTCGCAGTTAATTCTCTATAAAGGAACTCAATTCCGTTTATTAGTACTTCTCTGACATGTGTATCTGTTCTATCAAAACCAAAAATTTTGATCATTTTTGTAGTATGACTGAAGATAATATTGTAACAAAATGAATATATTAGAGGAAATATAAACTAAAACTACAAATACGCAGATTTTTCTCGACCCCCGGCTTATTGAATAATTAATTGTTTAAAATGTACTAAAAAGAGAAATTACTTCTTTCCTTATTAAGCATTAAAAATATTTCATATAGACAATATTACCATTATAACTCGTACTAATGCTACGTATTAATTAAAGTTGTCTGAATATCGTAGGTACATTGTGGTATTATAAAAATGACATACCAAATACTTTCTATGATGTTTATCTTATCTTTTTTGCTGTCTTCATGATCAGTAAGAAATTTGTCACATACCTTTGGCACGCAGGTTACGAAATCAATCGGGTCCTATCATTTATGTCGTCCGTCTCTAATCTCTTGATATTATAGTTATGATATTATTGCTTCGCGTTTTCTTTTCCAGTGAGTATCCAATTATTTATCTGTCTCTTATTGTAACGTATTTCTCTCAGCAAAACAACGAAAGTAAACAAGTCTTTTCATACAATTTCTATTAGCTATTAGTCTTAAGAAAGATGCCTCCTGGCGCTTCTTAGGGATAATTAATATATTACATCTGATTTTTGATCTGATGCAACTTGAAAGCATTAAAAAATGCTAATTAATTTTAATTCAAACAAATCAACGATAAAATCTTGCCTATTGTAAAATTCCTAAATTTAGATTTAACTTGTGAAACAGATATCGCTGTGCGATTTATTTATTGTATATATTTTATTTGGAAAATCGGAATATAAAAGTACATGAATTTGAAGTCACCTTTTTTTTGCATTGCTAAGAGTATTAAACCAACTATAAAGTAAGGCTGCAACACACAACAAATACAATATTTCTCATTTTTTTTGTCGCTTTGTAATTTTTTTAGCTTATTTGAAATTATTTATATCTTAAACAGTTATAAATTAAGATGTGTTGTTGGTAATGCAAATAATGTTTATAATTAATAATACTAGTTGACTCTATTAATAGTTGTCCGGTCTTAAACGACAATCTAATATTAGGCGTGATGGCTCTGAACTAATCGTGATGTGTACTAAGAAATTCAGTATAAATTACATAAATTAATTATTTTTATCAATAAATTAACTCCAACGTGACTCCAACCGAAGTATCAGTTTTAAACGATATTCAATTTTTTACATCCTATTTGACAATAATATATTAAAAAACTATTTGACGATATTAGCAGAACACATTCTAACAATTATATGTCAAACACTATAAGGTTACTTTAAAAAAGTTTATATTATCTAAAGCACTAATTTTAGATTAGAAATAATTTAATATGGTGGTTAAATGTTAAAATTTTCCACACAATTTTCTTATGTTTTTCTTTTATAATCTTCTCCTGACAATAATAAACACAACAAATAAAGAATTAGCGAAGTCGATCCAGCTGTTCACATGTGATGGCGTGACCATGTGAAATAGGGATTCATATTTATATTTTTTAACCTTTGCCGCTACATCACTTAGGTTAAAATGGGTCAAAGCGGGACGCCCGACGTTATTGTGATGGGTCGCAAGAATACATAGGTATTTAAGTTGTTAGTACCGTAATCACTATCATCCTTATTCGCCACACATTACTCCACAGTTCAGCACCAAGTACAGCACCGCCAATCAAATTGAATCATGCACAATATAATAACATCAATTTGATTAAATCATAGTCAGGGTTGCGGGTTTCAAATCTATACTAATGATAAAGCTGAAGAGTTCGTTTGTTTCTTTCATTGAACTCTAAAATCTCAGAAACTATCGAAACGTATTGAATCTTTTTTTTGTGTTGATTAGACCATTTATCGAGGAAGGCTATAGGCTAGATAACATCACACTTTGGCTTACAGGAGCAGCAATAAAAATTGTTCCAGAAACGGGAGAATATTTAACATTTTTAAAGCTTCCTTTGCGTGCACTACGTAAACGGTGAAAAATACGTAAAAAATAGATTACGAAATTGATTCCCTATTAAAGTTCTAAACAAAAACACATAAAAGGATGAAAATGGGAGTGGAAATTCGTAAAGTGCATTCAATAATTACCATAGAAACCATAATTTACAATTCAATTTGTCATTGTAATTATATTCCATGTCATCCTTTTCCAATCCATTATTAAACGATTTAAGCACAATACGCAGGATTAAATAATGTTTTAATTAATTCAAATTGTTACAATCGTTGTCGCTAATATTTAATGCAACGAAAATGTTGCATTTTGCTCAGCTATCGATCACTAGATGACACTACTATAGGTACTTTTAAAACGGGATTTTGATTTTTGTTATGTTTTTATCAAACATAAGTAGCAGATTAAATATTTTTTGTAAAAATATTTCTTTCAGCTGTTTGAGTAAATTACCTGAACATTGATGAAAATACGCTGTGTAATAGCAAAAAAGTATCAAGTGTTTGAAAAATTCATCCTATTAGATCTTGGATAGCTCAGCGGTTAGAGCAGTCGCCCAACATTCGCCTGGATTGCGAAATGCGCGACGCTGGAAAGCAAACACGTAGTAAACCGCAAAACTAAAATTGTTCTACAGAGCAGAAAAACTTTTATTTTTATCGATAAATAATTCCTATAAACGTCCATGGTAACAAATAAGGTGTTCCTTAGTCAATTTATACGGAAATAAGATTATTTTTTTCGGAAAAATATTAGGATTTTCCACTTTAAATATCCATTTTGGTTTTGCAGGTTTGCTTTCTAGTGTACAGCGGTACAACCGATTTTTGATTTGAATCCGTTATAACTTGTGTATTTAATTCAAAATATATTTTGTTCAGCTCCAGGCTATTGGTCAATTGATATACTGCTCGTTAAGCCTGGCCCAGTACTACTGCGTCGTGGACTTCTTAAGGGAGATTCCTTTACTCCTCTACATCAGAATTATTTTCTTCCATAGTAAGTTAACTATTATATACATGAAAAATATGTTACCTTATGAATATTATGAATAAACGAGGTGAAAGTACTAATTGACATTGTTTTCTGAGGGCCTACTCTGTTTATACACAAACGAAATATTTCAAATTTTTTAAATGTTCTTATAATTTAAAATCATATCTGTGAAGATTATTTGTGCACAAGAGGCAGTGTTAGGTCGTACCAGCTTTGCTTCATAAATTGTGTCTTCAGTCGCATTATTGTTTAGGAAATAGATAATATTTCGTTTTCGTAGAAATAAAGTGGGCTTTCGAGTTCGATCTCGGATTTGGATATTCGGGATTTTTAAAATAAATGACGTCATTGTTTGTAAATACAATTTAATTGTGATTCGATGGCAGACATTAAATGCTGATAAATATTCACTTCTGCCACGTTTTCCTGCAAGTTTCCTGCATATGATACGAGGGTCAAACTGAAAGTTCTTAGAACTGGCCACTTGTAAACAATATAATAAAAAAATAATTCTAAAATTTGAAAATATAACTCTTTGCCAATATTACTGAGTATATATTTCATTCATTTGTCATTTGTTTTACGATTTGGCGGCAAATTGAAAATTGTCTGTGTCACGTCATCATGAATTTAACACGAGAAAATTTTCGTGCAATGATTTTTTATGACTTTCGATGTCATTTAAGTCAACAAGAAAGTTATGATAGACTACAATTGGCCTTTCACGATGAAGCCCCATCTCGTGCGACTGTTTACAACTGGTTTAATGAGTTTAAACGTGGTCGCACTAATCTCACTGATGATTTACGTGAGGGACGGCCTTCTACGGCGACGACTGAAGATAACATCTGTGTTGTGCGGCGTATGATAGAGACTGACAAAAGAGTGACCTATCAACAGATTCGGACAAGCTTAGGCATCGGTATGAGTCAAGTGCACAAAATCCTCCACGAACATTTAGCGGTCAGGAAGCTTTGCGCCCGGTGGATACCTCATAATTTGACTGAGGCTCAAAAACTCCATCGTGTGGATTGGTGTCGTAAAATGATTGAAAGATTTAACGGAGGTGACTCAAATGCTGTGTTCGACATACTAACAGGTGACGAAAGCTGGATTTACTGTTATGATCCTAAAACCAAAAGACAATCTGCTCAGTGGGTGTTTCCTTTCGAGGAGTTGCCAACTAAAGTGAAGAGAGATCGAAGTGCGGGAAAAAAAATGGTGGCCTCGTTCTTTGGAAGGATAGGTCATTTTGCAACAATTGTGTTAGAGGATCAAAAAACAGTTTCTGCAGAATGGTACACTACCAATTGTTTGCCACTTGTCTTGGAAAAAGTTCGAGAGAAACGACCTCGCAGTAGGATCCTCCTTCACCACGACAACGCCTCGTCGCACACCGCCAAGCGAACGATCGACTATTTGGCGACATCAAACGTTGAATTACTGGGTCACCCGCCGTATAGCCCCGACCTCGCGCCTTGTGATTTTTATTTATTTCCAAAAATTAAAGAAAAACTTAAAGGAAAGCGGTTTATGAATGCTGAAGAAGCGGTGGCTGCGTATCGCGATGCCATTGAAGAGACCCCTAAGGACGAGTGGGCAAAGTGCTTTTCCCAGTGGTTCCATCGCATGCAGCGGTGTATTGACGTGAATGGACAATATTTTGAAAAGATATAATAAAACTAATAACTGGCTAATGTAATCAGTTTTTGATTTTCTAAGAACTTTCAGTTTGACCCTCGTATTAAAAGGGGCGTATCATTGATGCAGAGTCCCCGGTTCACAAGGGGTGTAACGTTAAAATGTAATAAAAAAAAAAAATATATGCACAACTTTAAGAGTGTGCGTACATCCAAAATCACTAACTTTCAACTGATATTGTGAAAAGATATGCACAAACGCTGCTGTAATTAAAATGAGAAATTACGTTATTTTTTAAGGGTTCGGTCACAACTAAACAGTGACTTTATAAAAAAATCTCTCGACAGTTATAAAATCTTAAGGTTATCCTTACAATTTAACGTTTTATTTCGTGTAATGAAACCCTATTTATACAACAATTTTACATTAATCGTAGGTAATAAATAGTTTTGTGAGTTTACTTTTTTAAATAACTTTGTTATCGTGTGATTCGCTATTTTCGCAGGGTTTTTGGTCAGGACAGAAATTAACATTAATATCCAATAAAAGTAAGTATATAATTATGACTGGATATTAATGTTAATTTAACCCTTAAACACTGTTTTGCCATACAAATTTGGGGTTGGTTCAACCCAACCTTTTATCATTAAAAGGGAATAAAAATAGATCACAACCATTTTCAGATCTACTGAATTTACATATAAAATTTTATCTAAATCGGTTAAGCCGTAAGAAGTATTTTTGTAACTAAAATAATGACGATAATTTTATATTTTAGAAAATATTATTTAAAAAAATGTGATAAGTACATAGTTAGAGTACGCTGCACCATTGTATATAAGTACGTTTGAAATGTCTTTGTTCCACTATATTCTTCGCAAAGCAAGTGATTGCATAGATAATATCTATTTGGCAACGTAATGTAACCGTGTAGAATAAACTTATATTATTACGTATAGTGTTCTGCACCGTTAACACTCTAGTATTTGAAAGAATCTGATGTTAATAATTCCTCAAATAAGGTCATATAATCTGATTTTCATAGAGATACACTAACATTTATGGTAATACCAATGGTAATATCAAGTTACTTCATTTCCTTAAAGTTACATTAATTTTTTAGTAATAATTAATAATAAGAAATATTTAAGAAGTATAAATTTCAAGGAGAAAATAGATTCGTTATTCTTCTTTTATTTTTTGCGTAAAATAGCCTATCCACGTATTATGTAGTTTCTGGTTGGTGAAAGATATATGAAGTGGTTCAGGAGTTTCGGAGCGTATTCTATGTAAACAAACAAATAATCAAATCTTTATAATATTAGAATAGATTCTATTGCCAGGTACAATGAAATCGATAGAGACAGAATGGAGAATCTGGGGTCAAACACGGTGTTATCGTCAGCTTATGAGTGGACATTAGAATTGTTGAATCCTCGGATGCCGAAGCTTGTAATTAGCTTATTTATAATTATAGTAGATGTAACAATATTGTAAATAATGTTGTAAGCTGCCAAAATAAAATAAAAATTAAAGATAAGTAAAACAACATAAAGATATATTTTAAAATACAAGCAGAGACAGCAATTATAGTAATAAACAATAAAAAGGGATAACGTCATACAAAATTCAAATTCGAATAATTATAAGAACACTTATTCAAACAGGCTTGCAGATTCGTCGTGAACAAACGGTTTTTTTAAATAAAAAGAAACAAGAAAATTGTGTATTTTATAGGTAACTTTGTGCTGATTTTTCTATCGAGAAAATTTGATAAATTTTCGTTTTAGCTCTGATAGACAGAACTGTTAGAAATGTAAGTTATGTAATTTTCTTATTAAAACAACTTATTCTTTGTACAAAACCATTTAAAATTTAGTGATTTTTGGTGTGCGCCCCTTTTTATCCAATACAGATAAATATAAGCGGCGAGTAACAATATGTGATGATGATTTATAAATTTTCTTGTTTATAGACCCTGGACCTTGTGGAGCCAGAATTAATATAGGGCAGTCGATAGAGGGCATCGCGGATCAAGCTTTTGTTTTGATCAACAACGAACCTCTCAGCACGTACCTAACCTTTATCATCAACAGCGTTAACCTCGGTCTTAGCGGCCTCTGGATTGTAGGCAGTCTCGTTGCGATTAGTGAGTATTAACTTTTCGTTTTCCCGCTTATATTAGGATCCGATTAGGTTTTCCCGCTATTCAAAGAGTCATCATTCAAGTGCACGAAGCCAATTGTGGTCAATCAATAGTTTCACATTTTTACTATAATATTTGCATTTTATCTAAATGAAGTATATATTTGTGTTTTACATTATATTATATAAAATTCTTTTAACTTTAAACAAGCTCTGAAGCGTGATTAACAATTTCTGGACTATTTTTCATATATAATCTTAATGTAGATTTGGAAATGATTAGTATTTAAAATAACTAAAGTTACCTATTTTGCATAAGCAAGGAAATATGTTTATGCAACCTTAAAAACTAGTAATATATGTATATATTACATATACTGATGTATCGTTTTACATTCACCAGTTTTTTATGTTAAATTAAGTTTTACTTATAGCACGCTTTAAATAAATTGTATCACACTGTGGTTTCACTGTCCTTTTATTGAATCTATTCTTAATTATTATTAGATTCTTTGTTAGCTCCGCGGGGGTAAGTACCCCAGCCTAGAGACTACTGTTAGCTGCTATAATCGGTTAATCAAAATTACACAGTGGGTGGTGCAAGGAACTCGTCACTGAAGAGTGTGCGATGGCCGTGGGCTCTGACGACAGTTGCGGCGATCGGCGTTGACCTGGTTGCCGTTGTCATATACCTGCACGGCTCTTTCTACACCAGGGTGTGTAAGTCGGATGACTACATTCTTTCTATAATCATCTTTATCGTCCCTTCTACGTCCCTACTGCAGGGTCAGGCCAGGTCAGGCCTTCCTTATGGATGGTTAAGGCGGACTGAACATGACTCTTCACGCTAGCCCAATGCGGAATAGAGGGTATTAACGACTGCAAATGCAGCCGAGAGTAACGGCTTAACGTGCCTTCCGAAGTACAGATAATAATTTTTTAGTTTACCCATCTGGTGATAGACCCATGCAAAGGTTGCTTAACAACAACGATGGCGGTCATCGGCGCTTATCCACTTCTCCACCGAGTTACTCGTACTATAGTATAAAAGTAAACTCCGACGCGTATGTTTTCTCCCTTGGTATTGTATATCTTGGACGCGTATGTTTTCTATATTTGTTAATAAATTGTTTCAATTTTATCACCATCAACCCATCACTGTCACCATCAACCAACACTCCACTACTGGGATAAAAAACTTTCCATGTTGAATCTATCAGATAACCCTTACTTACTATAAGTATCTAATGCAAATGAAATGTAATCATAAATAGGCATTATGATTTGTATATTCCTTTTTGCCCTAGAGAGAAAATTAAGGAACGTTCTACTGTCCGATGGTCTCGAATTTGTTGCCTCTCGTATTTACCGCTCCGAGCAATTGCCTGTTTTAACCTTTAGATCGGGCCCTGGTTCAAGTAATGTGTTTTAAATTTTGTGGACAGACATTAGCCGACACAATGGCATATATCGGGGGCGTGGCGACAGGCATAGCAGGTACCAACCTCGACACCTCGTGGGCGTCATGGGTTATGGTGGTATTGTATTCGCGATTCGTCGTGATCTTTGTGGTCAACGTGCTCCTTCTCCTCAGCGTCATTGTCGACTGTAATGCTCCTATACGACCGATAACCACCGGCACTGTGAGTTATAATTTCTTGTTTGTATTCTGCAAATTGTAAATGAGCAGGCAAACTCTAAAGTTTACTAATTGTTTTCTAGAAGAACATTGATTTATATCTGCCTAACATAAAAACTGGTTTTTATATTCACATAAAAGCATATTAAATTGAGATAGTGAAATATAGACAATTGTTCATATTTTAATAGAGGTGCTACGCCAGCTATGATTTCAAAACCTTTCTAAACAGTATCGATGATCTTTCTAATCATCATCATCAGTTTTTTATGATTTCGCCCTTCTAAACCCTTCTAAACAGTTTTGCTTTTATAGTTTAACTTATGATGAAAGATGCACTAATAGACGGCATTTAAAGATTTTACTACGATTTCTATTAGAAATAATACGTTGCTATTGCAGCAAGTGGAATCACCGACAACCCACGACGCATACACAAGCGATAAGGAAAGTGACGTTATTAGCACGACGAGTGAATCGCGATTGTTCGCGAAACTACCACGACCTGGACTGAGCCGGTCCTTCCGTCGCATGAAGGAGTTCTTGTTCGACCGGCCTGCTACACCTGTTCATCGCTCCAATTCCAATGCTGATTCCAACAAAACAATATCTGAGCGGTGAGTCTAAGGAATAAAAACCACAACTGACTTTACTGACTGAAGTTTATTTAGGGAGTATAAGATCTACTAACTGTTGACTCTAAAAGCTAATGGTCTAGAACTCTGATGCATTCCCTCCTAGCCCAAGACCTGGCTATTAAACTTTTATACAACTATCTATTAAATTATCAGAAAAAACTATATAATTCCATTATTTAAAGATACCAAAGTTGTAGTATATTTTGTCAATCATTGTGGGATTGACAAAATATACAACTTTGGTATCTTTATCTTTTCTCCACCTAAATAAAACTTAGTCTTGCTTGAGTCATATTAAATTAAATGGTGTAAAAATAGCAAAATCGTTGATGACCAGCCACTAATATTTTACAAATAAGTATGTTTAAAATGTTCAAACTGGTTAGAAATATTTCCGAGTCGCGTATTTAAGTTAAGCTGTTCTGTAAAATTAATCTTTTTGATTGTTGAGCCACATTTTCAACATTTGTTTTATTGAATGAGAACTATCACAGTTCTCCGCGAGTTCAGCCTATGGAGCCCGACAAAAAGCGGACTGTGAACTTCCCGGAGAACCTACTGTCGTTGCCGCAGCGTTTAGAGAACCTAATAGCTGAACAGCAGAGGCGGCTCGACCATGCCATCATAGATACAGCTGGGCGGAACAGCCCGCCAAGAGCATCACAGTCTATGCCCCAACTATCATCTACAGAGCAACGAGATGCGAGGGGGTTAGTATTTAAAATTCATAGAATGAGAACGGAATAACGTTTATAAAGTTCAGTTTACATTGAAATCATATTGAGAAAGAGCTTGATTTGATGAAATTCGCTAGCAAAAGTCTAATGAATCCAGCGTACTAGATACAAATTATTAATCATCGTGATACATTTTGAAACCAAATGTAACAGCTTATTTGAACTCTCCTTTTAACATTTAAATAATTATTCTGTTGCGTCATAATTAAAATTACCTATAAGTGAAAGATGTCACCATCATCATATTTTGAGTTTTGGTTTAGTAAATGACGTACTTTTCTAATTTTATGATAATTAATTTGGGACTCTAATCATTTTATTCACAATCAATTTGATACAAGTGATTTGCTTTAGGCGGCTTAAGCACTCCTCATAAAATTATTCTCATCGCATCAGACGTCGAGACACCGCGGCTGAGCTGCAAGGCCAGTTGCCGTGGGCATACGTGCCGGCGTCTGCGCACCGAATGCGCGATCAACTACCACCCGATGAAGATTTACCACCAGTGCCCTTACCCGACTACACAGCTATACAACCATTTAGGAAAGCTTGTGAGTAATACATATTGGTGTACCCGTGCACCTCGATAGACACGACAAAATTAAGCCTGACGCCCACATTTGGTTTCCGTGTTTGGTTTCCTAGGCACCGCGGCTGAGTAAGGCACTTGCGACAGTGATTGCAATCGTAAATTAACCGAATTTGATAGTTAACTCACAGCTTTATGAGGATTCGCCCCATTTTTTAATGGGTTGATTTTTAAATATTTCAGCCGTCCACCGTGCAGCGTCCAGTTTAAGTTCTCTACTTCAAAAGCGGGACGCGTTGGTCCAGTCCCGCCGTGAGTATAACGTCTACCCTCAAACGAGACTGTGACATTGTGCTTTCTGTCCGTGTGCTTATTTTTCTAATTACTATGATTCTGTCCAAATGAAGTATTGATAAATAGACGTAGCTGCTCTTTCGATCGTTTTCCAAATGGTAATAAAAGTAAATTATGTTTTTTGAAAATTATAAATGCAATACTTATATAATGCTTTATACGTATATATATATATTGTAGCGTTTTATTTCTTTGTTAAGCTAGCTGGTTGGAATTAATGTGCTCAACAACTTGCTTATAGATTTTTAATAAGTTATTTACCATGTTAGTTTGCACTTTATAGCTATAGCATCTAGTTAAAAGTGATTTAGAATAATCAAGTGTAAATTAATATACAAACTAGATGAGGTCATGTGATATATTATTATTTGCAGCAACAATAACAGAGTCAGATGTGTTATATTAGAAAGTACCATCGTTTATTAAGAATCGAGAAGTTGCAGAATCTTCAACGTTCGTAATATAGTAAAATATATTATTAGGTCTTTTGGTTATAAGAAATTGGCTTTTATTATGTGTTTCGATTAAAGCCGACAATATTACACATGGATTTTCACAGCTTTGTTATGCTCTAGTATTTGCTCTTTGATTTTTTTAAATGAAGTTTTATGAGGTAATTATAACAACTTAAGGATCCGTTAAGTGTTTCACGGAAGTATAAATTAGTATGTGTTATGGAATTTCCGTCGTGAAATAGTCTTACACTATTGTATAAGTCGTCAGAAATGAAGGCATGTAATTTGATTTTGCTCATGTTCTTAAACTGTTATATTGCTAGCGAACGAAATAAAAACTCCTCAAGACAAGATTAACTAATAATGTACGCAGAATAGGGATAACGACTTTGTTTTGTAACATTTATAATAAAATTCAGCAATTTTTATTAAATTAGGTAAAAAAAGCTCACTGAAGTTCTATGTGTAATATTAAATACGACGGAGTCCTGTACATAATTTAACTACGTTTTAAAATTTATAGAATAGAAATTTGTTTAATTAATTAAAATTTGTTTTCTCGGAAACTAGGGGGAAAATAGAGGACACCTTCCCTTAGTTTCCTAGTTTTCGTAAATGTCAGCCTTTTGGCAAAACAGTAGTGGTAATCTGAAAATTTTCAACATAAAATAAATAATTTCAATGATATTATCGTTGAAATTATTTATTATATAGGGGTTAAAGTATGAAATTGCCAATTTGTACTGAAAATCAAATATGTTTATTTATTTTTTTTTAATTTTTAACAAAGTTATTTAATCAAAATAGTTACCATTATTATCTATCGATTGCTGCCATCTAATAGGAAAGTTATTTATACCTTTGCGATAGAACTTTGAGGATTAAGACTGCAAAAACTGTGTGAAAGCATTTGGTGCTGCCTCCTGGGAAGAAAACTTCTTGTCACGTAGATAATTGTTCTAATCACGAAAAAAATGGTAAACCGTTGGAGCAAGGTCTGGCGTATACGCAGGATGACGAATGGTTTCTAACTGCAGTTCCTGAACGGTCAAAACGGTTTCTCGTGCTGTATGAGGTCTCGCGTTGTCATGGAGCAATAATGGTAAAGATCGATTCATGAGACAGGGCTATTTTACTGCTAGTTTTGCCAACATTATTCGGTGTTCAGCACAATAGACATCTGCCGTTATTGCTTGACCATATCGGAGAAAACTCTAGTAAATAACACTATGCTGAGACCACCAAACAGTTACCATTATCTTTTTATTGGTAAGTTTTCTTTAGGACGCTGATGTGGCGTTTGACCTGGGGTCAGCTATTGCATTTTTCTTTTATGGTTATCATAAAGAATCCACTCTTCATCACATGTCACAATTCGATCTAATATTCCTTCATTTCTGTACCGATTCAACAAGGCAACACAAGTTTCAACACGCGTTTCTTTCTGCAAATCAGTCAAATCATGAGGCACCCATTTTTCGTATTTTTTTTTTATTTTATTGATTTGACGCAAATGAGTCAATATTGTGGGTAAGGTAACGTTAAACCATGCTGCAAATTCCTAGGTTATTTGACAATGATCGGCTTCCACCATCTCTCCTAATTTATCGCTATTCACCTGTGTGGGCGGTCTTTCTCGTGGCTTGTTTTTCAAATCGAAGTTTCCATCACGAAAGCGTTTAAACCAAAATCGCAAGGTGTGCTCATTAGCAGACCCCTCTCCAAACGCAACATTGATATTGCGGGCTGTTTCTGTCGCGTTACTTCCGCGTCGGAACTCGTATTCAAAAATCACTCGAATTTTCGCAGTATCCATCTTTCTTGTCTAAGTTGAATAACAAAAACAATTAAAAGTCGACATTCAAATGTTTCACATTTTTAAAAAAAAAGAACATCATTAAACCCATTTGAAAAAAGGTTCTTTCGAAAACCTCAAACCATGAAGATTCTATGTCAATTCAAGGAACCTTTTACAATTAAACGGCAATTTCATACTTTAACCCCTAATATTACATTTCAATATTAGTAATTACCTAGATGAGACATTTGTGTCACTTACCTTTATGTAATTATGATTTTGATGTAATTACTTTAATGTGTAAATAAACTTTTTTATACTTTGTTAATATAAATCTAGCTGTTATTATGTATAAGGACGGACTTGACCGCTTGTAAAGTCGAAAAATAATTTTCAGTTATAATTTTGTTCGCTAAAGTATGTATTTGACTTTAGAATGTTAACAAGTTTTCGACTTTCACTATTCACTATTAAGCGTGATGGCGAATGTTCATAATTAACAATAGTCATTTCATAAATCTCTTCCAAAAGTATACGATTCAATTACTGTTAAACATATGCAAGATTTATGCAACTGTAGAGTTCAAGGACAATAGGAAATGGAATAGGATCACTTTCTTGTCGATGTTTCTGACAAAACCTTTTATTTCGGGAAAACGTGATGATATCGAGTTGAAATTAAAATCAGATCTTCAGGTCTAAGGTATCTTGAAGCTGTTAAAAATATAAATATAACATTACAAAAGATACAGCTGTTTTCTTTTCGACACTCAAGGGAATTAAAATCGATAGGGTTGTTGTTGATCTAAATATCGACATAACATTGCTAAGACGTCGTATCCTATGGCTAGATTAAAGGCTACAGGGTTACGGGGGCGCTCTGCAGAACTAGTCTGACTTGCACTTTGTCTAGTCTTTTACACATCGGTAATGCTATATGTCTACAGATACATGTCCTTTCTAGTGAATGTACTTGATCATAAAGCGAATAAAGTAACACTCTTTTGTATTGCCTTAATATCTTATTATTGCACCATGGCGTCTTGGCTAGCATAATAGGGGCTTCTACTAAAACCAAAGATATAATTTCTTTGTTCGTTATGTATTTTATTAACTACATTACCAAGCTACGCTTCTTTGCGATTTCGCCAAAGAGTAGCTAAGTGTTAGTAAGTAGTAAGTTACTGTGAATTAGGTATTTGGCTAGACTGCTAGTGTTGCCATGGCGTCCCAATGAGATATTTAGGTTCTGTTTGTAAATTATAAATAAATAATACCTGTTACTTCAACTATATTTAGAAAGGTAGGAAACGAATGCAGTATCTACGATTAAATAAATAATTAATTCTTTAAAGTGCTGTTTGTTAAAAATGAACACAAATGATGAACACAAAGCTGTTAATGCCATAGAGGTTTAAAAAAATTAAACCGACTTCATAAGGTAATCAAAGTTTTATTCGATTACACCTCTAACGTTGTGACAACGCTGTGTTCGATTCTGTGTTCATAACAGAATAGCAGAGTTAATATTAATTTTGACAACATGTAATTATATTTTGAAATTTGCTTTTTCTATTATTAAATATGGCATGTAATGTATGTAATAGGTATGTAGTGTATGACTTAGCTTCAAAGCCACGTGAAGACAAATATTTAACAGATGATGAATATAAATAATAATCTTCTTGACGTTTTTTGGTTTTATAGCGCATATATTTTTGTATTGTTAATAGCTTTGTTTTATATTGATGTAATATATCTATCCATCCATAGCTTGTATTCGGTTAAATTTTTACAGTTATACTTAGGTAAGTTTGAATAGTGAATCTAAATAAACTAAACGATTGGCAAGTACTGTCATACTAAACTTATGTGTGCAGAAGAATAATTATTAATAACAGGATTATTTTATATGCGGGCGAAGTTGTAGGAAATAATTTAGTAATTGATATAGATTTCACTAGTTCTTTGTATCTACAATCATCGTAAGGTAAAAGATGCTTATTTTATAAAAAAATATATACATTAAACGAAAAATAAGGGCTTGTTTTTTGGAATATTTAATATGATATCATTATATTAGCCGATTTCTGGCTTTTTTCTTATAAAAAATATTGTAAAATAATTTATAGAAATAGAATAATAAAAAATCTTATCTATATTAAAACTCTAAGAAATATTATAAACACGAATTTACAACTGAGGTTCATTTACATTGTACACGTTTTCGTTGATGTCTTTTCAAGAGCTTTACTTAAAAACAAGAAATAATGAAAATTCTCTTAAATATCAATTAATTATAACTCTGATCCTAAATGTTCTTAATATTTTATACATTATTCATGAATCACCGTAGTGTAACTGCTAAAATTTCACCGAGTACACGTATCGCCACTTTTATCAAGCTTTCAGATCTCATTTTATCATGAGATTGTGATAAGCTTATAAATTGATTATTATCTTATTAAAATATTGCACCCGTCCTTACTTAGAGCGTTATTGTAATTTGTAATTTAAGGTTTGGTAATAAATTTTGTATTTGCAATAATTTATGGAGTTTTATTTAAAATAAAAAGTACCTTAAGAAATACCTACGTGTTATTTAAGTGGAATGCGCATTAATTATATCGAAACAAGAAACTATGTTATATAGACTGCTTAATTGACTTACCTATGTAAATTAATGATACTATGTACTCGTAAGAATTAACATAACATCTGGCAAAAATCTTGAACGTATTTTTCTTTATTTTGGAAGTTTTTCGTAAATTTATGATAGTTAGTAGGACCTGACTCTGCCTCTGATGCACAGATAATCTTCACGGGTATGCTTTAACAAAATTATAAGAACTAATCGTCTTTTTGTTCGAGGACAAATATAATAGCTTCTCCCTCAGGTGACATTAATTTGTATGAGAAGTAAAATCCTATCCAAAACTACGAGCGAATCAGACTCGTTTAGATGCACATAAAGATAATAGGTGAAATACAACTAACTATAGGAAATTTTACATATTAGTTACAGGAAAGAGTTATTAAAAAGCATTCAATAGCTTTATATAACAGATATAATATACAATAAATATTGGTAAGCTGGGATAAGGAATTCACTCAATACGACTCCAGTCTTCATTAATCATATACAAAGTTTCG